AATAATTAAACAAATAAGATATGAATGATTGAATTAGGATATGAAAAATGGATAAAAAAAAATTTTAACATGATAAAATTGATTTTATTTTCTTGACAATCTCAAACAGATTTGATGTTTATTTAAATATCAATATATAATAAATATTTTTTAACTTTATGTCATTTAAAATGACAAATACTTTATGTCATTTAAAATGACAAATACTTTTTTCTTTTTTAATAATAATAATTCAATAAGCAATAAGCTATTCTATCTACTTCTTTTCTGCCTACCTTTACCACTCTCTAACACCATTCGATCAGAATCTTAAAAGAGAGAGAAATAATAAAGTTGGATGAGATTCTAATCTAACGATATTGAAAAGTGGTAGATAAAAAAAGAGATGAGTAGAATAATCTATCCCTAATAATAATAATATAATTATTAATTTTATTTTTCTTTCTTTATTATCAATGATACGATGTTATTTTATTAATAAGTACTCCCCACCCTGGGAGTGCTTTTTTGGTATGACGGTGGTATTGAAAATTGGGTGCGAGTCCTAAGGGTGAAAGTGAGCTGAGCTGCACCACTAGGTTAGCCTAGTGGTGTGGGGTGTGTGTGTAGTGTAGGGTGTTGTGTTCAATTCCTTGTAACCTCCACAAAAAAAAGTGAGTTGAGCTGAGCCGAGCTTTGTCCTGAAAAGCCCAAGTCTATGCCAAAAAATTTTAATTTTGCCTGGCCCGAGTCTAGTACGAGTCTAACTGTTAGCCTGCCTTGACCCGTTTATAAAAAAACAAAAGGTCTGGCTTGACCCATTAGCATGTTAATTTTTAACTTTCAAGCAAAACCATGAATCAATTTCACAAAATACTCAAATTGTGTTGCTAAAACAAAAAGTCACAATTTTAACATCCAAACAGAACCATGAATCACAATAAAACTCATCACAATTTGCATTTAAGTTACTTTCAAAAGCAAAATGCTCAAACTAAGTAACATATATTTCATCAGATCCAACAAACAAATCTATACTATGTAAATTAAAATAACTACATGAATCCAACAAACACATTATGATGCTTGTAGTAGTCAAAAACTTCTCTTTATCTTCTCTCCTCTACAAATACAATTCTAAGATTACACAAGTTGACAAACAATTTGTAAATGTGGAAAATAAAAAAGAAAAATAAAGAATAGAATAAAAAAAATAAGATTAAGAAACAAAAAATCTTTTAATAGATTTATATAGGCAATCACATACTGAGATGTTGGTTCCTCTACGTAAAAAATAAAGTCAATTTTTTATTAAATTTAATCAAATATAATTAAATTATAAAATATTTCAATTGATTAAATTTATACCTTTTAATTTTTTTTCAAGTCATACCGATTACGTAGCCAATCTTCGCATATATAAACTTGGATGATATCTTCAGTCAAGTTAGAACGATAAGCACTAGTAAACTCTTCCTTCAGTACTAAATATTGATTCTGATGATACTGTAGAGATTGGTACAGATTTTATATCACCTTTAAAGATAGTATTGATGTGGGAACGAACCTAAGTCCTTCCACCACTTACTTAGCTCACATGCACTAGTTGAACTATCACAATTTGATACTACTATGAATAAAATTATTTTATTAATTTAAAATAAATAACATATTATAGGCCGACCTGTGAGCTTATAAGCCCGGTATATAAAAAAAAAGCCTATCACCTAATTTTTAATTAAATAGGTTTTTAAAAGTCCGAGCCTATTTTATTTAACTATATATAATAAGTCAAGTCCGGCTTAATATAGGCTAGACCGTAGGTCCTTGTAGATCGGTCCAATCCACTTTTACTCCTAGATGCGACAGTATATTTTATACTATATCTTAATGATAAGACATAATATAAAGTACACAAGTAAAAAAAATTTCTATCCCACACAAGATAAATTGACGCGGGACACTCCTATTAAACGGATGTAGATGCGACGGTAGTATTGGAAATTTTCTAAAAGGACCACCGAACTAAAAAAAGTCTACAAAACTAATTAGGTTGGATGGATAGTATATATTATTAGTTGAAATGAATGATGACATTGCCATTTTTTCAAATAAAAATTACTAATTTATTTTTTTTTTAAAAAAGTTGCTAATTTTTTTAGCCGATAAAAGTTGAGCCCTATTTGTTTGAGTAAATGTCAAAAGTCTATTAAATTAACTAAATTGATATTAAATTAACATTATATTATTATATTTATTGGGTTAAATAATATTTCAAATTGTAAATAATTATTTATTTGATGTAAGATTTTAAGTTTTTAAAATTTTAAAAACGTTGAACGTATTATTGAAAAGAATAATTTGATTATTGATTTTTCTGCTTTTTATCCAAAATTTTCAATCTCTAGTATCTTATTTATTTATTTTTCTGTAAACATCTTATTTTATTTTTAAATTCGCAAGAATTTTGAAATATGATTCTGTTTATTGGATGACATTTCAAAATCTCTACAAATTCAAAAGTATTAAATTTATTGTTAAAAATGATATTTTATTTTTTTTGTTTCTTCCAAAAATTTCAAAAACTTAATTGTATATATATTTTTTATTTCTACTTCAATCAGAAAAAAAAAATCGTCGTATCTAAATTAAATTTCTAATTCTGACACGAATTTTTTTACGTGTCAACCCGAACACGAATTTTCGTGTCGTGTCACGGGTCGACCCACGTGTCATAACCTATATTGACACTCCTACGTGTGATTGACAATCATTAGAAAAAAAAATTATTGATTACCACGGTCTAGGTAAATATTAGGAGTATAAACAAATATTATGCAGATAAGATATTCATCAAAAATAAATCTTTAGTGTATCAGATTTGGATATGTGTTCGATTCCCGCTGAATGCATTCTTGGGGAGGGGGCTGAACTTTTAGCCATCACTGTTCTCCCGCACTCCGGATTAGTCCCATAGCCGGCTCAAAGAGTCGAAGCTCGTGGGGATACCGGAGGGAGCCAACTCGTCTCAAAGAGATAATTAGGGTTGGGTAACTCCAAAAAAAGAAGAAGAAGATGCACTGAATTTAGCATATTTGTCCATTTATTTTGTGATATATGAATAAAATATATCACATCGAAAAAAAATAATTGATATGATATTTTTTATGTGTCACAAAATGAATGAAAATATATACTAAATCTTTGGAACATCTTGTGCACTAAAAATTTATTCACAATCCATAATGTTTACAGGCATCGACATGGCATTGACATGTTAAGTAGATGATTTGTATTTTGCTTTTGGTTCCCTTCAATTTACGAAGCGGAACAATTATATTTATTTAAAAAAAACTTCACATTATATAAATCATAATATAATATAATATAATATAAATATTCATATAAATTGAATTGATTATAAAATAAAATCAATGTTGTTTATTATATATTGATATTAATATCTAGATAGATATCAAATATATTTAATATTGATAGGAAAGTAAATTAAATTTATCATGTTTAAATTTACTTTGTATTCAATTTTTAAATCCTAACTCTATTTATTTATTATATATTGATATTTAAATAAACATCAAATCTGTTTGAGATTGTCAAGAAAATAAAATCAATTTTATCATGTTAAAAAAAAAATTTATCCATTTTTCATATCCTAATTCAATAATTCATATCTTATTTGTTTAATTATTATATATGAATATTTAGATAGATATCAAATATATTTGAGAGTGACTATAAAACATAATCAACTTTATTGCGTTCAATTTTTTTTAATTTTTTTTACTTTCTACTTGTTTACTTATTCTATATCTTTCCAATATACTTCATGTTTTTTTATTTTTTAAACTAATTCAAACAACATTACATTTTCACAATATGAGGGGAAAACATATACAGCAAACAACTATTGTAATAACATGATGGATGTGGTGTAACACCCTATTGTATACAGTTTGTTAATATTACGTATCACATTAAGCATAGTTATAATCACAATAATTAAATTAAAATACGAATAAACTTTTTTTTATTAATAAACATTTCTATTTAAAATCAATTTTGTAATTAAAATAATTCAAAAAATTGTAATCATAACTAAAACAATATGTGGAACACTTAATGTTTATTTAACTATGTCATACATTGCTTTGACAAAGTATCAAGTAGTCCTCTTAAACTAACAAGGCTTAAAACTCATTTTATTCATGTTCAACACTAAATCATCTTCACTTTTTATTACATTGGAAATCCTCTAAATTAACAGCAAACTTTGTAATTCAAACGTGCAACACCACCAGATGATCATGTTTTCCATTTCTTCTTTCATTGTTCCCATTTACATTTTAAAAATATTAGCTGTAGTTCTTTTGAAATTTAAATTTATTTTACTGACCAATTTTATTTAATAAGATCTTAGCAAATTCTATATAAAATTTTAGATAAGAGAGCATGGGATACACAGACATTAACAAAACTCTGATTCATTTATGTAAAATCATTCTAAATTAATTTTGACCTTTTAATAAACAAAATCAATATTTCCTTTTTTATTACCGAATATCAATCACATGTACATTATTTATAATTTCAGGAGTTTCACAACGATGGGTAAAAGACTGGACTTTTTTTTTCTTTTATAAAATTATTTTACAAATTTTAAAAAATTTATTTTACAGAATAAAAAAGATAAGAAAAACTTGTTCGCTAAATTGACGACGCTACAATGACAAAGGTGACGCAGCAATATCGGCTCATCATCACACAAAAAACGAGGGACGGACTAGGTAGTTAAAAAAATTATGCTAGAGAAAAAAAAAATTATATTCATATTTATTATATAATAAATAATACAACATCAATATAAATATATAAACTAATAATAAATAATTAAACCTTAGAATTACCAGTGAGACAAGATTGATAGGACTTGAGAAATCTATAATGTCTTCAACTCAAACTAAATCAACTTTCCAATCACATATCCATAATCAATCCATCAAAACCTAAAAAAGAAAATTTTAGATAATGGAGCTCAATCGAATGGATCCTTCTTCTTAGTCCTTGACCATTGGAATACCTCAGTTACATACTTACATTCATTTGTGAGGTTGCTGATGGTAAGCAAATTAACAAGAGCGTTTTATTTTTCTATTCAATTTTTAGTTCTCTCCTCAAAATGAAAGAATGCATGATAAAATCGAATATTATTTAATAAAGGTGTAATATAGTTCATTTTACCAGAAAAATCTGGTACAATAAAGAGACGTCACAATTTTGTGAACGCTACTAGCAGGTACCGTCCATAAAATCTACCAGCAATTCTTGCACCATTCCTCGATCTGGAATCTTCCCTGCGGCGCCATATATAGGTGCTAGGCCTCCACTTATTGGACCTGGATTTTCTTTCACCTGAAATTGAAAAGAAAAAAAAATAGTGAAATAAAATCCAAATTAAATTAAGACAGTAGCACTGTATCAAGGAATGATCTGCTACATAAAAAATTAACACAAACTCCTTGGTCTCCAAATAAATAATCCAGGCATAGCTAGGATTCCACGTCAAGTAAACAACTTACAGTTTTCACAGATTCCTTCAAATCCCTGAGAAAGTCTTCAACAATTGGCACATGCTGTAGAGTCACACAGATATGAATGCTGATTCAAGCACAAAGAAGAAAATATTCTCAGTTTCTTAACAGTGAGCCATAATCCATCAAATAGTTTAATCCTGAAATATTAGCTAGATAGAATCCTAATATGGGACAATGTGCTACCCTCCGGCCCAACCTGTTGGGTCTCTGCAATGCATTCAAATGCCACCCTTTGGAAGACAAAACATCATTGACTTCAAATATATCCAGCACATCAGATCCAAAAGCCACGATTGTCATGTCGGGTCTTCCAACGATAAACAACTCAGCAATCTCCTCTATACTGCACATAGCAACCATTATATTCATAATTTTTATATAAGGCATGACACGAGAGATTGATACAGAAAGAGATAAAATTTATGTACCCTTTTTGTATTCTTTTTGATGCTTCCATAATTGCTTTTGTATTTTCCACGTAACCTGTAGAATAAAATGGACCATTAATCAGCCATACACCATGTATTAGGAATCGGAATTAGCAGAACGGGAAAGCAAATTATTATTTCAAAGCCTGCACAGAGCGGTTATGGGCAGTTACCTTCTTTCCCTAGAGACACCATTGCAGCCCATGCACCAGCAATAAGTCCTCCAGGCCTGCTTCCAGCTATGGTTGGAGATACATACAGCCCACCAGACCACTCGGTAACTGTGACATTGGCACAAATTATCAATCACCAAAGAAAATTGCAACAGAATTAATCCCAATAAAGATAAAACATTTCTTCCAAACAGATACATGACTAGCTCCACAGTCTAAAACTGAAAAGCCAAAGACTAGCTCTTGCTAAAGTTTATCTCACTACCTATCCTCTTCCCATTTCCTTGCAGGTTGTTGATCGTGTTCCCTCTCAAAGAAAGGAAAATAATAAGCATGAACACAGTATGATAAAAATCACTCCCCATTAAACACTGACTAACACGGGTAGGGATAAGGAAAATCTTTGTATACAGCCTTACCCTTATATATTTACAAAGAGGTTATTTCCCGAATTTGAACTCGTGACCTTTCAGTCACATAGGAGCAGTTTTACCACTATCGAGGCTCACCCTCTTCATGAACATATTATGATGTTGTTTCAAAAAGATTTCTCATGCGCACACACATATGTGCAATATAAAAATAACTGCAAGACATAAATATATATCGGAAACAAATTGTAAACTTACCAGCGACAAATTGATGCTGTAGAGTCCAAAAGCCAGAAAGAAAATACATTAGTAATCAGCTGCAAGTAAGTCAACAACAAAATTTCTAATAACAGAGGAAGGCATGTAGCAAACAAGCTTATCCGAAAAATAGAAACGAAAAAGGAGGGGAGGAGGAATACAGCTTAAAGAGAACTAGGTTATATTTATAGGACCTGTCATTTTTATAATAGAAAAAGATATTTTATTTGATAGAAAAGAAGAAAAACACATCTAGGGGAAACATGAAAAAATATACTATACAATGCGGCAAGGCTACCTAGTCTCTCCACTTAATAGAAATAACAACTGTCATGAAAACAGCCAAGGGCAAAACACCCAAGAGAAGCCATACAAATAATCCTATTTCATTAGTTTAGGAGGACAAGAGACAAACTTAAAGACGAGATCATTCTGGTCCAACCAAACGTACCAAAGGACAGCATAAACTGTACAGCCACAAAATTTTAATCCCTTATTTTTTTCAAAACATTTGCACCAAATCATCAAAAGCTGCTCCAAAGTAGAGAACAAACCCAATGCAAACCAAGAGCTCCAAAAAAGTTGCTCCATGGGAAAATAGCTGTTTTACAATGCAAAAAAAAGATGGCTTACTCTGTATAAACTAGTTCTTCGCGTTACACATTTGAAGATATTATCTCACACCAACGATTTAATTACTTTCTGTTGCCAGACTTTCCTATTAATGAAATTCCATATGTTTACAAGGGGTGCAAACTAGTAATTGTCCCTTTCTATTATGTTGAAATTATAAGGATTTTGGTATAGAGGAAAGAAAACGAATAAAATTATATTGATATTATTGTGAAGGATGTAATGCAAAAGAAAAGTAATAAACCCAATTTGTACTAAATAAGAGACTCCCAAAATAAGGAAACACATCATGATATATAACGAAACTACTCCTAAGAGATCATCTAAGATATTCTGAACTTATTTTAATATATTAAACAATATTTACTAGATATTCTAACACTCCCTCTCAAGCTAAAGCTTACTAAACTTGTTAATCGTAAAGATGAAAATAACCAACAATATAATCTGGGCTCCACAAAGCATGGCTTGAAAGGCAACTCAGAGATTCTTGAAACATTGGAGATATAAGCATTACTGGAGTGACAGTACAACAAGAACTATCATTGAGGCTGGTGTGCATCACAACCATGATTGCTAGCATGACTTATCAGTGAGATACAAGAAATCAACATTGTCCATTGGTTTGATTCACAATGGAAGGCTGATATAAATCACAGTCAATTTGTTCATCACTTTAAGCGGGCCAAGCTGATAGGGCCAAATTGCATTAGGGAGAACGACCGGGGCCAAATTGCATATCCAACTGATGAGGCTAGACCGCATCTAGGACAAAATTTGATGGGGCCAAACTGCATTTGGGACAAGGTCCGACTGGGCTAGGCTGCATTTAGGACAAGTAGCCAAAATGCAACTTCCAGATTTCTCCCCCTCCATGTTATGTTAGCATTGGAAAAGAGACACACAATGGGTGGATAAATCTGGAGAGAGGACACAAATCATTGTTGGTTAAAACAAGGGACTCAAGCTTCAACATGACCTTAGGAGTATAAGAGGGTGTAGAGTCTGCAATGGGTCACACTAGGCAGTGGAGAGGAAAGCTGGAGAAGACCAAATGTGAGGAGAGAAGGGCCGGATGAACATGGGGAACCGTGGACAACGCTGGTATTTGGTAAGGGTTGGATGGCCACCCATGGACGATAATTGATAGAGAAAAACATCGGATCTGAGGAGACGAGGTTGGGACAAGTACCACACTAGTGGTTGCTGCCGAAATTGGTCAGTCATGCTACGTAGAGAGTCCACCGGAGAAGACGAAACATGTTGACGCAAAAGCAGAGTGCGAGATGCCGGTTCAGCGTGGGCTTGCAGGTAATTAGCCAGAAAAAAAGAAGAGTCACTCCAAATCCTGATGTCACCGGTCGAAAAAGTTGTCGGAGGTGGTTAAAGATGTTGTGGTCAACGGCCAGAAGACGTTGGAATGACGACACAACCGTGGGCAATAGTGTTCAACTAGGAGAAGGGATGGGATGGGACAGCCGTGTAGGATAATGCCTTTTTGATACGATGTTGACATTAAAGGGATTTAGATAATAAGGAAAGAAACAAAAAAATTATATTAACATTACTGTGAAAGACATGATGCAAAAGACAAAGTAATAAGCCTTAATAGTACTTAATAAGAAACTTCTAGAATATGTAAACAAATTATGAACTATATGAAAAATAGGAAAACAATTCCTAAGAGAACATCTAAGATATTCTAACTTATTCTAAGATATTATCAATATTTTCTAGATATTCTAACATACTCCTATAAAATTTGGAGAGTTGAGTATGAGATGCACTAAGATAGGGATGATTTAAGGAATGACCATGTGAAATTAATGATATATTTAGGATATCAGATATTGATTTTTAAGTTTTTGAGTCAAAAGATTTGCCATGTTATACACTTCCTCTTTTATCTCCTGCATCTATAATTGTATTCACCAAAAGAAAGTTTTATCTCCAAAAATAGCATCCCTAAGTAGGAAAAACTGCAAGAATATTTTGAATAACTCTCCATGATTTCCTAAAGAAGAGAAAGAGATGAAGAACTCTTGAACTAAGTCGATCTTCATGTGTGGCCCTAGGCTTGAGATCCATGTGTGCAATAGCCAAGAGAAAGATCAATGCAGATTCTAGGAGGGGAACATATATCCACCGGGGAAAAACTTCAAGTTATGAAATAGAAACACTAGTAATCAAATACAATATGTTAAATTTTGTTATTTTTACAGTGCTGATGAATATCAACACCAGAAAGAAAAATGGAACATGAAAGAACATATACTTTACTTTTTGAAGATTAAAACGCACTATATTATGTGAGATGTTCCAAAAATGCTGCAAAAATTAACTGTAAAAAATTTCTATAACACTAAAGACTTAAAAATAGTTCATCAGCCTTTGCCTAAAGCTTTTTGAGAAGCCCAATGACTTACCTTTCTGATTTCATGGTTCCTATAAAGAACAACACTTGTTCCTTTGGGAGCTAAACCATATTTATGCACATCAACTGATATTGAAGAAACTCCTTTAACAGAAAAATCAAATGGCGGAATGTTGTACCTATGAAGAAAAGGTAAATATGAATTCCTTATATTGGTATTGACATTTTACAAAAAGTTATGACTTAAGATAAGATCTACATATCATTTCCAATATAACAGTGCCTCTTTCATGAAGATAATACTATGCCAAACACATAATCCCAAACAAACAATAAAATCTGCAGATACAAAGAAATTGAAAAAGTTATGTATTTGTGAAACAGTTCCGGTAACGTAATGCTTGGAAAGCTACTCAAACAGTTAATAAAAGAATTGGAATATATTGTGATAGGTCCTGCATTTAACAGTGAAAATTAGAAGGAAAAACAACTAGGAGCAAGCTCCAAATAAATAAAAAATAAATAAAACATGGAATGTAGAAAAAGTTTGAATATACGACAAAAAAATAGAGAATATTAGAGAAGCAACATGCTATCTCTGCTCTTATGGCGACAATCTACACCCACCCCTAATCACCCAAATGACCCGATACCCGCTTCATCACCCTCCATTCACTTTTTATTCATGTTCCCTTCCACGATAGCAGCATCCTCTCCACCAATTCCCTGCTGCCAAGTGTCAATTCTGTTAGAGCTACCTGTAACAACCTCCTCCACTACACTTCCCAGCTCCTTCCCCACTCTACCCTTACACCCCATTCACCTTTCTATAATATACATAAATTGGAGGTTGAGGCCCATGATATAGAGGTCCATCATATTGTCAACTAGAGAAGAAAAGGCCCAATGCATAGACAGATATAGCTCCAAAGGTCAAATTTTAATATGAAAGTATAGCACCTAAACAACGACAAGGTAAAAATTGAAGGTGAAAGTATAACAAAAAAGACAACAGCAATGAATAATAGTTTACTAATATATATTAAGTTATGCCAACCATACCCAAGCTCACGAGCAAAAGGTAATACAAAGCCACCAAGGCAAAGGTCTACATGGAAGCAAACACCACAGCTTGATGCCAGATGACCAAGTTCCTATGGAAGAAATTGCCAAATTATCTGCATTAGGGTAAATCAGCAAGCAAGTTGAACTTATATTATTTTTTTCAGCATTGGATTAATAAAATTAAAAAACTTACTTCAATGGGGTCAATTATTCCATGAGGATACCCAGGAGCAGATCCAACAATCTGTATTATCATATGACAGTCAATTTCGTTTGACAACAAGAATTCAAGTTATTAGGCTTTATTAGGCTTTTGCATACCATATAAAATCCTGTACCAAGAAATTTGAATTTTGTAAATGATAAAAAAAAAAAAAAAAACGAGCATGCTTGATTAACTTCATACCAAAATGGTATTTTTGTTAATATGACGTCGAATTGCTTTTACATCTGCTTGAAAAAATTTGCTAACTGGAACACGCCATAGTTTGATATTAAAATACTGTGCAGCCTTGTCATATGCTGAGTGAGCAGACTCAGGAATTATCCTACAAATGAGAAGTTATTTTGAAATTACATTAAAAAGAAGACAATTTACCAACGATATGATGATGAATTATTGGTGACATACATTTCGGGTCTTGTAATTCCTTTCTTATATTTCATATAGTCACGAGATGATTTGACGGCTAATAATATACTTTCAGTCCCTCCTGATGTCATGTTGCCGCATATTTGTCCTCCAGAACATTTTTCCTTACTTCCAAGGAGTGCTGCTGTCATTGCAACCACTTCTGCCTCAAAGCGTGCTACACTCTGGAATACATCCAAATGCAAGGGATTGGTATGTGAAAACCTGAAAGTCCATCAACTTCAATTACTAGATACATGCAACAAATGTATATGGAAACATCAGCAGCCCAGATAATAAGCATGGAAATGACTTGTGAAATGTAACTCTCTAAACTGTAAATTATTTGAATGCCTCAAAATCATCAATGAATTTGATATCAAAACCTAATTCTGAAACAGTTCCATTAGACTCGGAAACATATAGAACTAATCTAGATTTTGATCTGTAAAAATCAAGTAACGGTCAAAGTATCAAAGAGATGTCAACTTCGTTAGTTCATTTCTGTTTGGCAAAATTAGAAGTCATAACCATACGCTTGCTTTGAATATTTTCAAGTTCAAACGATTATATAAGCCCTTCCTATAATGCCTAGGGCAGACTAAGTCATAAGCCATCAGTGTTAAGGCAAAATACATAATCTGATAGTATCACTCAACAATGAGATGACTCCAGCTCAAAAAGCAAAACGAACTCAGGTACTCCGAACTAGGTCTACTGATATTTTACTTAGTTTCAAAACTGGAGAACTATGCACAAATCAATCTACATGTATATCACAAACTTAAATAACATAATTGCTAATCAGTATATTAAAAAATTAATATTGCCAGAAATATAAAAGTACAACTGAAAACTCTGCCATGTCTTACTAACATTGAGCATGCCTCATTTATCAGAGAAAAATGTCCATCAGATTCACTTCCTCCAATGTAGCTGCAAGAAATAAACAAAATTTATAAAAGAGTCTACATATAACCAAATGGACCAAAAAGATTTAAAAAATCCAAGCACAAATAAGCAGAATTTAATATTTAATTTTACCAAAATGGCTAACATACACTGTACCAGAGCATTTGCCTTGCCAAATCGGATCATTTCTTTTCTCCTCTCTCATTTTCTCAAGGACAGATGTCCCTAATCCTGTACTTGGCAATTCTGTTATCCAACCTTCTCTTTTAGACTTGCTATCAGACTGCAACTTATTGACAACCTGTGTGCCCAATGACCAGATTAATAACAAAATTAGTCACCATCCACAATCCATGGTTTAAAGAAAGCAGAAAATTGTTCAAACAAAGTGTACGCCCAGTTATTAACAAATAAAAGTGTAGCCTTGTTTGCAAAAAGGACATTCTCAGAGTTATTGACAGTCAGGTCCACAAACAAATCAAAGTATTCATCAACTGCATAAGGAACAAGAATAATGGTACAAATTGAACCGTGTGTTTGGATTTGACAAATAATAGTCAAAAAACCCAACTGGTTTCTTCACCTCGTGAACTTTAAGTTTGGAGTCCCACGGTAAGCCTAGTATGGACTTGATCAGTTTTCAATACAATTTTACTAATAAAACTTATTCATGAATTTTTTCCACCTCCAGTAAGATGACATTCCATCAGAAGAAGATATTGACTGAGAGGGCATTGACTTTCTCATCACTGTCAATCCTTTCAAAAACTCAGATTTCCATACTGTCTTGCCTCAATGTTACCACGCCTTCCATCTAGCCATTTTAATATAATTCTAGATAATACAACAACCCAACAGGTCTTTTTAACCAAAATGGCGTAGACTGGTTCAAGCTCTCCCGTCTCAAAAATTTTGCAATTTCGAAAAACACAAAATACAGAACTAACCACTAATCTCACGAACGAACTTATAATGTGCATAAAAAACCTCAGAGAATCAAATCCAACTCATTACCACTCTAATCACAATAAACAAAATCTCAGCTCAACTAAATCAACAAAGCCATGCGATGTTGACTCCATTTACAACACAAAAACAAAGTTCAATCCAATTAAATTACACAACACCTGACCTTCCGTTTCTCAGCATCTATACGACTCTTAACAGCAGGGATCAATCTGTAGATCCAAAACAGAGATCACAAATTAGATTAATCAAGAAAGCACCAAACAAATGAGTAATTATCACATAATAATATTATCATCAATTAATTAATTAATTCAAAAATACAGTGCATGGAGTAGTTATAGTACTTGATAGAGGTCATGAAAAACCCTATGAGTGTGGCTTTGAGTCCCTTGTCATGGAGAACCCGGAACAAAGAGCGAACGACGTGTGCGAGAAGAAGAGAGAGAAGAGGAGCGAGAAGCAGAGTGAGAGGTTCATATTGGGATAGGAACGAGTTCGCGGAGGTTCTGAAGCGATTGAAATGATAAGTCAATGCAGAAGAATCCATTCCAGGAAAAGAAGAGAGCAACGAAGAAGGAATAATAATGATAATAATATTGACAAAGAGAAACAGAGTATATGTTAATATTAAATATTATATGGAACCGTAGACGAAAGAAGAAGAAGAAAATTATATCCTAGCGGTTGCGTGTCGTGTCATGACTCGAATACTTTCTTACTTCCCCTCTTTATGTGAACTAAAACGTTTTGGCTACCAAGAAAATTTTGGAACACCAATTAAAATGTCATTCTTCACTAATTTTTTTATTTAAATGTCATGTTATTTTTCAATCTGTCATGGGGCAAGTTCGCTACCTGGTGTAGCAAGCTCGTTTTACTGACGTGTCACGTTTCTAATGGACACCAACTTGATTTTAACCAAGTTCGCCTGCATGGTAGGCGACTTTCATTTTTTTTATTATTTTTTTTTTAAATTTGATATTTGTTATCCATTAAAAATATGACACGTCAGCAAACCGAGTTCGCTACATAGGGTAGCGAACTTGTCCTGTGACATATTGAAAAATAATTTAAGTAAAAAAAGTTGATGAATAGTGATATTTTAGTCTGTGTTTCGAAAATTTCCATATGGGCTGGCGCATTGCATTTCGTAATAGGCCAAGCAGCCCAATGCGCATTTCTGTCAATTCCATTTTTTTAAATATAATTTATCAGAAATTTAAAAAAATGTTCAGTGTAATATTCAATTAAAAAAATATATATACATGTGTCTAAACTTGGCAGATAAGGCGCCATATGTATATGAAATTGGCGCTGACAGCACCACAGTATTAAAGAAAGATAAGCGCATGTAGCGCCAATAAAGAAATGTGAAAGATAAAAGAAAGGAAAGCGGAAAGATAGAGAATAAAAGAAAGAAAGAAATAGAGAGAAAACAAAAAAGAAAATAAATGAAAAGGAGAAAGAGAAAAAAAAAATGGGACAAATAAAATATAAAGGTAATATTGGGAATAATAACATTATTCTCCTAATTTTATTTTTTTATTTATTTTATATGTAAAATTGTTATTTTGAAATTATTTCTTTAAAAGCTGTTAAAGTACCGTTATATTTAGGGTTAGCAAAAATGAGCTAATATGTCGGGTTGGCTCGTAACCCGTCAAAAATGAGTTGTCAATCAGAGCCAGCTCAAGAAAAAAATGAGCCAACTCGCGGTTCAAACGGGCTAGCTCGCGGATTGAGTTGTTTTTTTATATATAAAAAAATTCAAAATATAATATACAAAAATGAACAAAATCCACAAACGCTATCATCGTTTTTTCTTCCTTCTCTAAACCTAAGTCCCTAATCTTCTCACATTGCTGCCATTTTTATATTGTTAAACACTGGCTCTGTTTGGTTCAAATATCTTACTCACTTGATAACAAGTGGTTCTGATTATTTTTCGATGTTGGTGCAAATTTGTTGCGAAGAAAATTCGAAACTATAACATTTTGCTTTTACTTTTTATTTTGTAACTTTCTATTTTGCTTTTTTTATAAACTATTCGGTAAGATAATTGTATTGTTTAAGCTGATGAAAGTCGCATAGCTGGTGCATTAATACTACAGGTTCATTTAAATAGGTTGAAAACGAGCCAACCCGCGAGTCAATTTTTGAGCCAACTCAGGAGCCATTTTTTCAAACCAACCCATGAGCCATTTTTTCGAGTCAACTCTAATCCAGCTCATTTTTTTCTCATTACATACGGGTTGGCCCGTTTTGCAACCTTAGTTATTCTATCCAAATATTTTCTTATGAATCTTTACTATTCTTTTGATTTATTTGTTATCTTTAAATGTGCGAAATTGATGAATTTATTCAAATTAGTTATAAGCTAAAGTGGTTGAATTGGTTATAATTTGAAAATCCCAAAATGACTGAGATTTATTTCACGTGTTTATTTTTATGCTAACATTTTTGGAGAGTAAACAACTAAACATGTCAAAATGTGTATCATTGGAGTAAGATGAAGTATCATGATTGAAAATTATGAGGACCGTGTGGAGTTCATGAAGATCGTGTATACAAGCTTAGTTAAAGTTCCTACTTGATGTAAAATAATTTATAGACAAGAATTCAATATATTTGACTCAGTTATAAGTATAATTAAATTATAAGTGTATTTTATCATATGCTATATTTTATATCCGCTGTGTGAGAATCTTATACTCTTTAATTTAAAATAATATTTAAGAATTTATATGATATCTTCTATGCTAGCCAATTATAAAGGATGCTACATTTTATGGTATTGGAACATAATGGCTCAAGTAAATAAAAGATTTAAACTATATATTACTTAGTATTTTGTCATAGATCATGCATATTTTAAAATATTTAGTAATGAGCCTAATCAGCTTACTGCAATGAAACAATATATGTAGATCTATGGCAGATACAAGACAAATATCTTCAACTTCTGAACCAAAAGTTAACCCAGTAACTGATGCATTTATCCGGATGGCAGAAGCTCTTAAAAAACATACGGTAACGAATCAGCAAATTATTCAGGAGTTAAGGGAGAATAGTGCAACCAGAAACCACACTTATAACTCTGAAAATGAAAATGAATCTAAAACTGCAAATGCTCAAGGAAGATCTAATCCTAATTACAAAGGATTAACTGAATTCGGCAAGCATAAACCTTATACTTTTCGTAGAGATTATAACCCTAAGACAATTGTGGAATGGGTAAAGGAACTTGAGAAAATATTCCTGATAATGGACTGCCCTGTTATTCATCGGATAAATTTTGCCACATATATGTTGATGGGAGAAATAGGCCATTGGTGTGGATAAATACCAAAAGATATTTCCAAAGCCTAAGAAGAAAGATTACTTGGACATCATTTAAATATGTCTTTTTAGAAAAACATTTTCCTCAAAGTATAAGAAGTAGGAAAGAAATAGAATTCCTTGATTTAAAACAAGGAAATATGATTGTTCATGAATATGTGGCAAAATTTAAGTAACTATCTATATATTCAAATTATTTACAAAATCAACCAAATGAAGAATGGTTGACAAATATGTTTGAATCTGGATTAAAATATGAAATGAAAAGTATGATAATATGACATCAAATAAGAAATTTTTATCACTAATAAATAGTACAGAGACATTGAGACAAGCATGATAGAAGCTGAAAAGGCAAGGGAGAAAGCCAGAGGTGCAAATTAGAAAAGGAAGAATGATGACAATGACAAAGAGAGATTTCCACAAGCACAAGACTCAGAAACAACTTTGCTAACAATAAAGAAAGAGAAAATCAGAAACAGATAACTTATCAGATTTAGGTATGTCCTAAGAGTATGAAAAATCATATTGGAGAATGGCTAGTAGGAAAAGGCATGTGTTTTAAGTGTGGGAAGTCAAGACACCTGATGAAGCATCGTCCTCAAAATCAAGGTCAGAAATCATTCAACCAATCTGTAGCAAAAGGAAAAAAATTTACTATCAGTGGTTAGGAGGCGGTTTAAGCTTCAAACTTGGTGTAAGTTACCAATTTCCATTCTACATTCTTATCTTAAAGTCTCAATTTCTGTTAGAGAAAATAAAATCATATTTCAAGTTTGTATGAATTATTCTCTTCAAATCGAAGAGAAGTTATTGACATAGATTTAGTTTATCTTCCTATGATCTACATGAATGTGGTTTTTTAGCATAAATTAATTATCACTGTGTGGATCATAGATAATTGAACTAAGTTATTTATAATTATCTTTTTATAAGGTATATCGAAATTTCGGAGACAAAATTTGATTTAGAAGATAAGAAATATAATAGTCAATTAAAAAAACAAATACATATGCCTAAGCTTGGTGCCTAAGACGCCATCTATATGTGAAATTGGCGTTGACAACACCACAATATTAAAGAAGATAGGCACTTGTAGAGTCAAGAAAGAAAGGAAAAAAATAAAAAAATAAATAAGGTGGCACCTAAAACGCCATCATGTGTCTACGGTTGGCGCAAAATATGCCATGAAAGTTTGGCACAAAAAGTTGTGTAATTAATTGGCAAAGCACCATGGTGTGAGAAGAAAAATGACGTTACTAGTGCCACATATAAGAAATAAATTAGGAGTGTAATGCGGAAGTAATTGAGCAAAAGTCTTTGATTTTTAAGATTCAAAAAGAATGAGTTGGATATTTTAAAAGAGATTAGTATGTGACTTATACATACATAATATATATACCTGGCGAGAAAAAGAGAGAGAGAGAAAGAGTGTAAACATAGGAAATAAAAGAAAGGAAGAAAGCAAAGAAGAAATAAAGGAAATTAATAATAGAGAGAAGAAAATAAAGAAAGAAATAGAGAGAGAGAAAAAAACAAAAAAATAAAAGAAATGAGAGTAAACATGTCAATATTACTGAGATTTATCTCACGTGTGTTTATTTTTATGCTGACCTTTCCATAGAGTAAACATGTGAGTATGTGTATCATCAGAGTAGGATGAAGTATCGTGATTAAGATGATGATGACCGTGCAGAGTTCATGAATATCATGTATACAAGCTTAGTTAAAGTTACTACTTAATGTAAAATAGCTTAGAGACATTAAATCAATAAATTTGACTCAGTCATATGTATAATTAAATTTAAGTGTTTTTATTATATGCTTTATTTTATATCCGCTGCATGAGAATCATATACTCTTTGATTTAAAATAAGATTTAAAAATTTATGTGATATTCTCTATGTTAGCCAATTATAGAGGATGTTACATTCAGGGTCAATACAATATTTATTTAGGTGGAGGTTAGACTCGTTAGAGCATGTGGTTGATCCTCCGTAGTACCATATTTGGTAGGGGTTTAAAGCAATATTATTAAATCCAACCCGGTCATTGATCCGGCTGAGGTACCGGGTCACCAGAACCAGTGGGTCCCTGATTCAACCGCATAACCCTGTGAGTATATGCAAATATTTGATTTTTATTAAAAAATTATAAACATACTAAATGCTGGTAAAATAATAATACCAATTTCAAATTTTTTACTATAAAAATAATAAATCACACATTATTATCCAACGAAAAATCAAACAAACATATAATGCTTCTGATACTGGTGATTCATGTTAAGTAGTGGACATCTCTAGCTATCAATTAAATCAAAATCCCTTGCATAGCGAATAACAAATGTAATATTAGTATTGTATGTACATGACCTATGTAAGTCAATAAGTAACAAATTACACAAATATTTCAAAAGAAAACAAACCATTTGTGAATTTTAAAAATATGATATCCCTTATGATTTTTTTTTGGATTTTTTTTATGAACCGGGTCGAGTCACCGGTTGAACTAGTAGGGTTGCACCGGTTCTATTACATAACCGATCCAATATAAAAATCAGACTAGTTATATGACCGGTCATCGATTTTTGGGACGATCCAGTTTTTATAATATTGAATTAAAATCTTAATTTTGAGACTCGTCTCAAATCGAATTAGTCGTGAAACGATGAACTGATTAAAAAAACAATATTTATTTATATTCAAAATTAAGGAAATAATATTTATCTTTTTGAAAGATATAGAATTATATTATTTTAAATACATGAAAAAAATACATAATAAAAATCTTGAAGAAGAAAGTGTACATATATGCCATGACTCGTGTACTGTCTTGCTTCCTCTTTATGTGAACAAAAATGTATTGGGCACCAAGAAACTTTCCACATGGGATTGCCCAGTGCATTTTTAATGGGCCAAGCAGTCCAATGCATTGAGTGGGTTAGTTCTGTCAATTTTATATTTTAAAATATAATTTATCAAAAATTTAAAAAAATATTCAGGGTCGAAATAATATTGAAAAAATATTTAGCCTTATAACCTTATGTCATTTTAGATCATAATCATTAATTTTCGTCAATCAATAATTATAATTTATTGAATTAAATTTAATGGATCAAATTTATTATTAATTGATTAATGATTTTGATTCAATAATTAATGAGTTTGATTTGAAAAATGATAACCGTTGATTGGCGGAAATCAACGGTTAAGATATGGTAGTAATATTGATAGTAACATTATTTGGTTGTCACAATATCCTATTCTAAATTATAATTATAAATTAGGGATATGATATTGTGACAACCAAATAATGTTACTACCAATGTTACTACCACATCTTAACCGTTGATTTTCGCCAATCAACGGTTATCATTTATTGCGAATTAATAATTAATTATCCCAATTAGGGATAGGATATTGTGACAACCAAACAATATTACTACCAATGTTACTACAACATCTTAACCGTTAATTTCCGCCAATCAACGGTTATCATTTATTGCGAATTAATAATTAATTAATGGGTTTAATTTGAAAAATAATAATCGTTGATTGGCGAAAATCAACAATTAAGATGTGGTAGTAACATTATTTGGTTGTCACAATATCCTATCCCTTATAATTTGGAACAGAGTATAGTGTGACAACCAAATAATGTTACTACCACATCTTAACCGTTGATTTCCGTCAATCAACGGTTATTATTTTTCAAATCAAACTCATTAATTAATTATTAATTCGCAATAAATGATAACCTTTGATTGGCGGAAATCAACGGTTAAGATGTGGTAGTAACATTAGTAGTAACATTATTTGGTTGTCACAATATCCATCCCGTTATATAAAGAAAAAAAGGTCCAAGTTGAAAGGGAATATACCGGTAATTTTGTACAACTTGAAAACTAGGGTCTGGTCAATTGAGGAGAAACGCAGTAGCAACCCAAACAAGGGTTTGTTTTGTTAGCTTCGTGATCGATTCTCACTACGGGCGAAAGATAGAGAGAGCAATAGAAGAAGGAGACGTTTTTGTTCTGCCACAGGAGCGAACGCATCGCTGAAGCTGAAACGCTTGCGTTTCGCAACGGAGTGAACTAGTTGCTGAGGTCACCCATGGCTCTTCCACTCGGGAAACTCACCATTCTCGTCGGTGCAGGTTTACACTGTTATCCACTTCGTGTTTCTTCTGTTTCCTTTATTTTATTTTTTTTTATTTAACTTCGTTTTTTTTACCCTTTGTTTCCCTAAACTGATGTAATCATAATTTAACATCGTTTCCTCACGGCGCATGAATTAGAAAAATAAATCTAGGTTTTTGATGAAACCAGAATTTTGCATTGTTAGGGTTATCGTTCCCTAAACCCTATATATATAGACACACACACATTAGCATATTGGAGACTTGTGAATGGTGATCCTCACTGAAAACCGTTTGTTTTTTTAGGTATTGTTGGTTCTGTAATTGCAAAAGAAGGGCGCATGCCAGATGTCTCTGGTCTTGTATCTGGTGCGTTCAAGGTTAGTTTTTGAAAGCTCAACTTATCTCTGGGTGCTGCCGTTTTTCGTTATTCGTTGCATGCATTTAAGCAGCTTCTGGTGAAGGGTGTATGCACGTAATATGGTGATACTACAGATTAGTATATGCATTTAATTTTTATTTTTTTACTTTTTTACTCTGGAGGAATATTGCTTGTGTTTTTCTCAAAAAATTTCCCCTTCTGTCCAGCAATGTGATCTAGGAATAGGTCCTGTTTCATATATAAATGCAGTTTTCCAAAGTTATCAAATGCGGATTGCGGCATGTCGCGGCCAACCCCAAAAAACGCTATTGTGCTATAGCAGGTCGGGGTTGCGGAAATGGCGGAATAGATATATGACAGAAATAATGACAAAAAGAAAAAGAAAAGACAGAGATAGCAGAAGTGACAGAGAGAGACGCAAATAGACTAAAAAACCCTTAAATTTTTTTCTAGTACACATTTAAATTTAGGACAAAATTGACATTTTGTCTTACGACAGCAATAGGTTGTGATTTAGCCTCAAATGCGATCGCAATAGCCGTTATTGCGTTTCGGTGCGGCGCGGCACCGCAACGCCCGTACGGGGCGGGTCGTGGCGCAATTAACTACTATGCAGTTTTCATCTTTTATGTGTTCAAAGCAGAATGATTGAGATGCTGATTAAAATAAGAGAAGATATGTTCAAGGATATCTAGTCCGCGCGATTAAGATATACAGCCGAGGCACTAATATATAACTAAATAAAAGGGATTACATAGGAATAATCTATGAAGCACCGATACGGCGTTTTCGATACGTTCTTGATGATACAGGATGTTGAAAGGATGTCGATTACCAAACAATACGTGTCCGATACGTTTTCAATACGCGTATCCGATACGTTGAAAAAAAATGTAAGGAGTATCGGTGCTTCATAGGGAATAATACATGATATGGGACTTTGTCCCTTACACTAAACTATTCTATTTACAACACACTCAACAAATATAGTGAGTAAATTGCAGCTGTTATTTATTCTTGGTAACTAATGATGCAGGATCTATGCTGATTCTGGACTGATTTCTTTTTTTTTTTTTTTGGCCAGATGGTTTTGAAGCAACTTAAAAGCAATGATTCTGCTCCACCTGTTAAAAAGCCACATAATGATGCTTTGATGGCACAGGTCCGCATGTTGTTGCCTTTTCATTATTGTTTGATTTAATTTTAATTATGAATAATTCTTTGTGAGGGTGGGCTGAGGGCAGGCCTTGGAGCAGAAGTAAGGCGGTGTGTAATCAACCCTCGCTCTTACCCTTGCAAAGTCGAGGAGCCTTTGTGCACTGTGGTTTGTCTATGAATAATACTTAGTATGGTTAAGTCTAGTCTCATGCATCATGCCGTACATCATTTAGTGAATCTTATTTATGACCCGAGTTCAGAGCATTTGCATTTTGTTGTATACTTGTATATATGTCTTATTCATAACAATTAAAATTGAATTTTGAACATCATGTTCTATATATGCTAATGTACATAGCGTATATGCTAACCTGTGGCTCAGTACATGGTTGAGAGTAACTTCATTTACGTGTTTTGAAACTGAAACAGGTCAAAAGTACTATGGTAAATAGCATCTATACAATTACTTATGTTGCACCATTCTAAAGTAGGCAGTCATCTATGATTTAGCAAAACTTAACGCTATGTGGAAACATATAGTAGTAGTATCATACATAGTCATCACTGTGAAAGAAACATGTTGTGAATGTGTTACACTAACTAGTGTTTCCATTGTTATTTGTAACTCGTAATATACAGTGCTAATGTTGCATGATATGAAAAAGTAGTGATCATAGCTTAAGAGGTTAGGTATTGTAAATTTCCATGTAGATATATATACACTTGTGAACCTTACACTTCTTGCATTTATATTTAAACATATATAATTGTTTTTATACTCGATATGTACAATCTGGAAAAGGGGTGGATGGGTGTGCAAGACTAAGCTGTACATAATTCTCTAGCTATTTAGCTGTATATATTTTCTCACACTCAATGAATTGAATAAAAGCCTGACCATGTTTCACAGTCCATATAGAAAGAGTTAAAAGTATTGGTAGTTAAAATAGGATTGCTATTCCCCCGTTATTTTTGTAAATATATAGCAATATGAGGGTAATTGAAAATGCTGATTAAACCTTTGATCTACAGGTTAACATTCTTCAACAGGAACTACAGCTTCTTGCTAGAGACAGATCGATCACTATTGTAAATGCAAGTGGAACAGGTTCTAGTTAGCTACTTTCTTTTACAAACTTTAGGAGCCTTTTGTTATTTTTTAATTTTTTTCAGGAATTTAATAAATGGTGAAATGATAATTTGCAAACTCTGCAATCTCTGGTTTTAATTATAGGGTGTGTCCATACTTTGTATTAGCTAACCAAAGTTTCCTTATTTCTTATATTTTTGTTATTTTCTGACTTGCCTTCGCAATGCACAGGTGCAAGAAAATATGTAACAGTCATTGTTATTGTTGTGTTAGGATATGGATACATTTGGTGGAAGGTAATGTCTTTTCTTCTCTGAACTGTTGATTTAAGTAACAGGATGCTGTACTGTTACATTCTTGTTGGGAGTTTGTGTGGTGGAAATTTGAATTCAAATGTTAGTGCTTTTAATAACTTCTTTGTGCTATATATCCACATGATAAGTGTCAAGCATATGATTGGAAGTTTATCAACCTTGCAAAGATATGTAAACTTTTTTTGGGTATGGCTTTCTCTTTCAGTTTTATTCGGATTTGCTCAAATGGCATCCATGTTTGGGTTGTTGCAGTTGCTTTCTGTATGGATAAATTGGTCTAATATTTGGTTTAACTTAGCCAAACTGTGTTTATAATTCTTCCCTGAGAGTTGGTTTTACTATTTCATTTTGAGCCTAATTCATGTTGCTACTTGCTACCAATATTTTCCACGTAATTTGCAGCAGAATCAATTATATGTTACTTGCAAGTTGCAATTGATCATATTTAGTTGGTGGGTGTGCATGGATAGTGACAAATCCAAGTATTTTAGTCTATGGGGACAAACTATATATACCAAAAGAACTCCTAAAACTATGGGAGCAAATCGACAAAATTATTGGTTTGCTAGTACAAACTACATGTATTATTACCCTAAATTGTTGCAGGCTTGTCCTCTCTCTCTTATATACATAGTTCTGTCACTGAGCATGGATTTAGTTGTACTGAATTTTTATGCCAGAACAGCTGGATGATCATTGACTCAATCTCTAGTAATTGACTTAATCTTTACTTTTATGGCCTTTATTTGTTTGTAGGGATGGAAGCTTCCTGATATGATGTTTGCAACAAGGCGTGGTTTATCTGATGCTACCACATCTATAGGTAATCAGATGGGGAAGATTTATGAATCAATGGAGGTAATTTTTCTTTTTTACTGTACAATTTTTCCTTCTTAGATTGTGTCAAAACCCAGGCATTTTCTATTAATGATGACATTAAATGATAACTTTGTGTTCACTAGAGTATAGCTATATTACAAAATGTCATGGAGCCAAATCAGTAATTTTTTTTTAATAATACAATTATGTTTTATTTGAGGGTGAACCTTAGAGTAGCGGAAAAGTTGCTACTTGTGACCAGAATGTCATGGGTTCCAGTCTAGGAAACAGTCTTATTACAAAAGTGTAAGGGTTACGAAAATGTAAGGGTAAAACTGTGTACTATCGACCCTCACCCTTACACTCGCAAGTCGGAAAGCCTTGTGCATCAGGATTTTCCCTTTAATACAATTATATTTTATTTATGTTGTTCTTTTGAATTAGAAGATACACATAACATTTGAACCTAGTGAAGATCTTAGTTTGTTCTTATTCATGTATCATTGTGGTACTTTTTTCAATGACAATATAAATTGTTTTGTGAGCAAGGTTGGTGGTAATCTATTGAACTCTAGTTTGACATACAAAAAGGAGAAAAGCCAGTTAATTTAATTGATCCTCTTTTCTAATGATCTTCCATCTTGAGTTTTCTGTCAAGCCTCTGTGTATTATCTTATTCATATAAATGTTTTCTGTTATAGTGTTAAGTGCATAACTTGCATTTATCGTTTTCATTATGATAATTGGTTATAGTTCCATTATCAAACAAGTTCATCTGGCCTGTATTTCAAATAAATTCAATTTTGAAAAGAACTTTCTTTGTTCAATAATAATGATCTTTTAAAGCTTGCATTTTGCTCAATTTATTTTTCTGACTTTCTTTAGACATTGAGGATAACATAGATGGTTGTTTAACCATGGAATACTTGAGGATAAATATTTACTTATTTGAAATGGTTTCAGGATTCCAAGAAGAAGTTATCTGCAAGAATGAACCGTGTGGATAAAAGTTTAGATGAATGTGCTACCCTAACTGAACATACCAGGAAGGATGTGAGTAAAGAATTTAGGTTGTATAATTTTGCCTTCTCGATTGTTTAACATAGAATATCTTCTGTTATAGGTATCTGCAATACAACGGGATGCAGATACAATGACGGGAGATTTCAATTCTTGTCGTGCTGCGGTCCATGTTCTGGTAACTTCATTGCAAGAATTCTGTTATTTATTTAAGTTTTTTGCTGGATGTTTATCTAAGTCTGATTACTTGATTCTCAGGAATCTAGAATCAAAGAAGTAGAAGGGAAACAGGTATAATCGATTTAAGTCACTATGCAGTATTTAATTACAAAGATTTCTTATTTTCATTTAAGGGGGGTGTTATTCCCATGATTTACTGTTTCTACTCTGCTTAGGCTACCACAATTGAAGGAGTACACGAGTTGGGTCAATATGCCTTGAGTTTGAAGAATAGTAGAACAACAGAGTATATTCAGGCATGAACAACTTTCGATACAATTCAGGCTTGTGCGCTTTTTATTATCTTCTTTCCATTTATTTGCGATATTAATAACATATTTTTAATGATATAGGCATCTTCATCCAGTTCTTCCAAGCCAGCCCTTGAGCTACCACCAGTGTCACCCTCTTCCAGGGTAAGTGTTTTTTTTTTCCAGGCTTATTTATCAATGCAATTATGTCCTATTTGGGAAACTATAATCATAATTAGACATGATAGGATAGGATAATTTATTTTAAATTAATAGGATTTCTTGCCGTTAGTTTATCTGTATAATTTGTTCATTGTCCAAGTATATCTTGTATTTAACTATAAGTCAAAGAATGGACATACAGTCATTAAGTTTGGCTTTATATTTGAAACTTATTCCTATTTTAACTCTGTAAATCTGAATTTTACAGGCTACACTGACAGTTCCTTCTAGGCTATCTCTTGAGCCACCATCTGTTACGCCATCATCAAGGGTAACTTATATAATAATACAATACATTATATGAAACATATATAAATATACAAATAACAGTTTATACCAGTGCTAGTCTATGATGCTAATATTTCCTGGGCATCTCTGGTCTGTCTTAGGGTCTGCATGGTTGAGTAGGGATTGTATATCATAAAGAATATGCAGTATCAGAAAGTGAGAGAGAATGAGAGAAAATAGAGAGAAAGTCATTGTGTAATATCGAATAATCTGAGATCTGTTCTAATACAAAGAGGAAGCTCTATTTATAGAGCAAGGCAATGACTCAAAGCTGAGTCAACAGATTAACAATACTAACAAATTACTAATTGAATAGCTGAGAAGCTATCAGATACAAGTGGGTGTAAACATGCTAAAATACAACGCTAATCAGAAGCTAAGAGCTATGCTATTTACTAATACCCTTCCGCAAACTCAAGGAGGCTTGGATGTAAGTAAGGAGCTATCCAAGACCTTGAATTTGGTTCTTAAATCAGCAAAATAAGCAGAAGACAGAGGCTTTGTCAACGTGTCAGCAACTTGATCAGATGAAGGAATATGAGAAACCACCAATTCCTTGTTAAGAACCCGTTCACGAACAAAGAAGATATCCAGTTCCATATGCTTGGTTTTGGCATGAAGAACAGGGTTGCGAGTGAGAGCAACTGTGCTCATATTATCACAGAACACACGAGGAATGGACAGAGGCAGATGCTCTTCCTTAAGAAAAGACTGAATCCATAGAATTTCAGTACACGTTGTAGCCAAACTGTGACACTCAGCCTCTGTGCTTGAGCGAACAACCAAAGTTTGCTTCTTGGACCACCAAGAGATGAGATTTGGACCAAGAAAAAGGCAGGAACCAGATGTAGAACGTTTGTCATCTGGATCTGCTGCCCAGTCAGCATCACAGTAATCTGTGAGAGTTAAGGCACCAGTGGGACAAGTTGCCTGGAGGTGCAAACCGAAGGAGATTGTACCCTTTAAGTAATGAAGATCTGTGAGCTTGACAGAGATCTGATAGTTGAGTTTGGAACTTTCTCCATTGACGAGATCTGTGAGCTCTGGTTTGAATTGTTGTTGCTGTTTCGATTTTCTTGATCTTGTTGAGAGGTTGAGGTTGCAGAAGCCATGAGAGAAGCTCAAAATGGAACAGGCCATCAGAAGGAGAGCTCTGATACCATATCAGAAAGTGAGAGAGAGAACGAGAGAAAATAGAGAGAAAGTCATTGTGTAATATTGAATAATCTGAAATCTGTTCTAATACAAAGAGGAAGCTCCTATTTATAGAGCTAGGCAATGACTCAAAGCTGAGTCAGTAGATTAACAATACTATCTAACTACTAACTGAATAGCTGAGAAGCTATCAGATACAAGCAGGTGTAAACATGCTAAAATACAACGCTGAGCAGAAGCTAAGAGCTATGCTATTTACTAATATGCAGCCATTGTAATTGTGCTTAACTTTTATTTAAAACCTTTAACTGCAGCCTTGTTATTGTGTGTTGATTGCTAGTTCTTACTTCCCACAATTTGTTTTCATGACAGACTGTATCCTTACCTCTAACTATGTCAACTGATCCACCATCTCCATGGAATTCTACTGGATCTGACCAGGTTTGCTATATTTATGATTTACTGGATTCAGATAATATACTGAAGAGGAGTGAAGAGAAAATAATTAGTTTTTACATGACATGTCTACTTGAGAGATGCTTGGCTATGTTTGACTGCCAAGAAATGATCAATTCCATACATTTGTGCATTTTAATATAATGTTCGGTAGTTTATACGTTTGTGGCTTACATAGCTGACAAGGTTGTTTATGTGCATTATTAAGTTTATTGTACTTACAAACTTCGAAACCCATTTATATTTTTATTGATGTGCTTTTTGCAAGAAAAAAAAAATTCTCTTTTTCATTTGGTCTGAATTGTCTTTCTAGTTGTAATTTCAATCTTCATTTCGTTGACTATTTGGTCATCTGCCCTTTCAGGATAGTCGTCGAATTTCAGAGGAGAGAAGTTTCTCTAGCAGTCATGTGGATTCAAAAAAGATTCCTCCTAAAGAAGACAAAACGAATGGATCTAGTTCTGGCTTGCTTGGGCTGAAGTTTTCAAGCGTCTATGCTCCAATTCTTTCTAGAACACGCAGTGCAACAGATGCAGTAGTACAACAAACTCGTTCTACCAGTTAACAATAATAGAACTGACTTTATTTTATTTTATTTTTTATGTTGATACCCAGTGAAGTATAGATGATTGAACCTATTGTGGGGAGAGAGTCTTCACCAGTTGGTGTGGCTTTTCAGAAGTTGTGCCCACCGTCAATTACAAGTATGCTCAATCCAGTCTGATTAGAAACGACTGGTCTGTGAATTTTTGCGTAGATGCTGTTTCTCTCAGTTCCATTAGTATTAAACTAAAATAAGAGTTTCTCCAATATTCAACTTGATTTGGGAAAGCTGAAAATGGAAAGAGTGGCTATTGAATTGTCTTGAACTCATTTGTTCTCCGTATTATTTTGAGAATGAAATAGAAAATCTTATTAAGAATATTACATCTTGTTCGAAGTTTTTAATTCAATATAATAAAGATTCAGATACTTTGTTGTAAAAGACTTTAGATGATGTTTGATAGAAGGAAGAATTTTAGAATTCCTGGGAATCTGAGATTGGGAATTTGATTTGTATATTTGGTATAAGGATTTTAAAATTTTTTCTGGGAAAGTCGGATTCTCAGAAAATGTCATCTTGAAATACCACCCATACCAAATGGGTGGTATTGAATATTTGACAATTTTTTGGGATATAATTAACTTTATCTCTTCTCTTCGTTGGGATTCTTGTTTGAACCTCTGTGCATTGTTGTGTATTTGGATCAATTCAGTTCTATCCTAACAAAAACGATTCTAGGCTGGAGTCGTATCTTTGTGTGTACGATATGATTAAAAGGAAACATAATGTGGACAAAAACATAATAAAAAAATCAACACCTCGATGCACAAATCTGCGTTATTAATTAAAGAATAAAAGAGAAAATTAATTTAACTATTTAAACCCAGATTCTCAGTCATAAGACCCTTTCCACCGGAGACACTCCACTGGTCAGTATTGGCCACCGAAGGCACCCAATTGCCGCACCTGGCCACTGTTCTCACGCTTTCTATCAGCGTCTCCGTCCGCGACTCCCGCGACAAAATCTCCGACAGAAATTTATTTTATCAAATAATTTTTTAATAATATTTTGAAGAAATTTATTCTGTCAGTATATTTTTAAAAATAATAATTTTCGGATAAAAAAATATTTTTTCTCCACCAAATGTCTGGTTAGTATCGTTATGGGGCAGAAAAAGGCTGACACTAAAGCCCATTGAAGAGATTTTGATAATCTTCGTCTGTAGTGGACAACCCCACGTGAAACTTTTGAGTACAAGGATGTAGGTTACAAATAAGTAAAAGTGTTTATCCTTACCATTTATATCCTTTCACTTTTACAAAAAGACGAGACTTATATCTTTATTTTATTTTTTGTCAACTTTTTCTACTCTTTTGTCTATCTCTTTCTCTATCTTAAAATGACACAACTTTACATCTTTTTTTAAATCCATTTTTTTCTTTAGTATGGTACTCATACTGTCATACGGGTATTTTTTTGTCATGTGACCTTGTAGATAATTATATTGTTTAGAAGTTTTAATATATTTTAAATTATTTGTTAATTTTTTTGGATACTTAATAATTATATTGTTAATTTTAAATCTTAATAAGTTAGTTTTTGTTAAAAGATTATCCCTTTTTCTTTGCATTAACAAAGTAAAAGAGTATTTTTTTGGATGTAATTATATTATTTAAAACAAAATATTTAATGACTTTTTAATCTTTTTAATAAACAAAGAAGGGGTTTGCATTTATCATTTAACATGACACAAGAAAGTTTCCTACAAACACAACATTTTGTGGGGCTCACACTTTTTGAAACCAAAAAAAAAATTACGACACGCAAAACGAATCTCTATAATATTACATAATCACTTTTCCTACAATATAACTCTTATAAAACCCAACAAAGAAATAGCTCATTGTTAAGAAGTGTTGGATGCAAGAACTAAATTAAGATCTTATAATTAAAGTAGTGTTTTTTTTTCTTTCTTTCTTTTACTTAATCATTTCTTAGCTTCAACAAAGAAATAATAAAACGCTAAATTATTTATTTTTATGTACAGTTGAAGGATTTTTAAATAACCAAAAACAAAGCTCATACAAAAAATATTTACAAATTATTCAAAATAAGAAATATTTAGAGGGTAAATGGTGAAGGAGGCGGGAGATTCCATTTTGAGGGTTTCATTTCATTGTTGGAAAGAAAAACTCTCTGTCTCTTTCTCTCTCTCTCTCTCTCTCTCTCTCTCTCTCTCGCCCCTTTAGCGACACCGTTTTCATCTCCTCCTAGTGGCAGTGGTAATGGTGTTGAGTGGCAGAGAAAGCTTCATTCGATTGATCGGCAAACGGAGGCGCTTCCTTCACAATCGCGATTCTATCCTCTCCGATCCTATTCCTATTCCCGTTCCTATCCAGGCTCTGGAACCCGAACAACCATTGCAACCAAACGCAAGAGATAATAACCCCGAAAATGGCGACGCATATTGCCCGGTTTGTGGTCGCAAGCTTCACGGCGATAACCAACGCATCAACTCTCATCTTGGTATGTAATATATACTTTCGTTTCATTCCATTTGAATGGTGTTGAAGCATAACATGGATGAAGAATATAAAAATCTGAGAGAGAGAGAGAGAGAGAGAGAGAGAGAGAGAGAGAGAGAGAGAGAAGAACAAGGGAAAATTGAAACTGAGAAGCTGAGAAACTGTAATTGTATTGCTGTGATGTGTTTTTAATATAGATTTGGAACTCTATAGATCTAGAATCTGACAGATGTTGAAACTGATTATGTTAGAAGCTGTTATCGATTCTGTTAGTCAGTTAGAGTCTGTTATTACACCTGTCAGAAACAGTTAAGAGTTTGTTTGGAGTTCAGACTAAACAATATTCTGAATTAGGTAAACAGATTAGAGTAAGCTTAGCTTATATCTAACCAATGGTCTACTCTCATGTCAATTTATGCTTTCAGATGTGTGTCTATCCCAATCCAGAGGAAGAGGAGCGCAACGAAAACTCACCCAACGCACCCTCCTTCAGTTAAACTTCACCTACCCCGTATCCAGTAACGGTAATGCAGTGTCACCCGTGCTGCCTCCTCAGCAAGAAAAAGAAATTCAGAGTAGCAAGTGCAAAGAAGATTTTGCTGAAAATCAAGAGGTTGATCTTGATTCTACGATTAGCACCGCCTCATACTTGCCATTGAACAATGAGGTGCCTGATAATCATAAAATCGACATATCTGGAGTGGCACTTGAAACTTTTATCGTTGGCCGGAGATATACTGATCAAGAGGAAATATGTCATGGTACTACCATCTCTCTTTTGAGAGACCCTCAAAATGTTAAGGACCCCAATGCCATCAAGGTTCATTTCTTTTTGCCTTTATAATATAGTGCTGTCTTTTATATGTAATTTTAAGGAACTCGTTGCTCCTCTTGGTTTGTTCAGGTTGTTTCTGCAGATTCTGCGGATGGAAAATTATTAGGTTTTCTCCCCCGTGAGCTTGCACAATATCTATCTCCTCTAATTGATGAGTATGGCCTTAGATTTCAGGTATTAAAATGTTTTAGCCTAATGATGAGTTGGTTGTGTATTTGGGTGCCTTTATCACTTCTCATCTGCTTGTTATTTGTACTTGAGTCAAACGAATTATTGATATAGAAGGCACTTGAGAGTTGAGTTGTGCATTATGTGATTGTTCTAGTTCAGAAACTACTGCTTTTTTTATGAGCAGACTATTAGTTAGACTGTCAGCAGTTTTTGTTGATTGGTTTTAGTGGTTTTACTGGGAAGAAGGAAAATCTTTGTTGTGGCATGCTGTAGTATGCAGTTTCTCAGGTGTATTTTTATTGAAGTTGAATTGATGCAGGCAGCAAAAGGTGTGCAGTTTAATGAGTAAGGATTAGGGTTGTCTAGGGTAAGTCAGTTATAGAAACAGGTGGATGGAAGTTTCATTGGGTTCATGCGAGAGTAGGGGTTTTGCTGGCAATACGAAGGGATTTAAGGATTAGAAATGTGACTATTGTGGTGCTGTGAACTGGGTATTTTCAGGGTTAATGTTTTGGGTATGATAGTTTTTGAAACCAATAAAGAAAGATCCAATTATTGGGTTTTAATGGGGAGGAAATTGATGTTTTCCTGAGAAATCTGTTCTAGGTGGTTGATAAAATCGAAGAAAACAGGTTAGCAATTGAGAGGAATAAGACGAAACATAGGCATTATACCTATGGTTTGATTGCATCACAAAATCAAGACATAATGTTATTGTACTATGAAAAATACAGCTTTATAACTGATCATAATAGCCCTTCTATAACTTATCCTACAATAATTAGGTATGGAATCCTAATTCTATTAAGATTAAGACTCTACTGCTATTAAGCTTGTAAGGGAAACTAAAGACATTAAAACAGGACTCAGTAATCACCTATTGTATGATGACTGGCATTCCTCTAGAATTATTTAATGATTGCACTAATTACATAATGTCACAATGACTAGCATCCTTGTAGAATTTTTAGTCTACTTGATTAAGCTAGTCTAGTCATAATCATAATGAGTAGCATTTGACTTGCTGGTCATTATCCTAATAAAAGTATTTTACAATAATTACTCCAAAAAGAGGCAAGCCTTGGAGCAGTAGTAAGGTTGCTCTTTGTACCCGGAAGGTCACGGTTTCACGGGTTCGAGTTTAGGAAACAACCTCTTTGTAAAAAATACAAAGGTATGACTGTATGTAATCGACACTCACCCCTACCCTCGCAAGCCATGGAGTCTTGTGCATCGGATTTTGCCCTTTTCCCTTTACTTCAAAAAATGTGGATTTAACTACTTGATTCAAGCTCTCATCATTTTTCTCTTTGGAACTTGTTCCAGGGACTTGTCACTTCTTTTCCAAAACATTCTCTTGATGTTGTTCCAATTCAGATTATGTGCCACAGAGCATCAGAAAATGAAAGCGAGTATGATAATGAGACTTTTAAATGCTTATGGAAAAATGCTCAGCATGTTGTTGAATTTGGAAGCAGGAATCCTCCTTCATCTGTAAAGTATCAGCTGAATTTTTCTCTTATGCTTCAAGAGGTGTTGAGAAATAACATTCACCTTTTAACAGAAGATGAAAAAACCTATATGGGTATTATTAATATTAATACTTGTGGCTTTTATTATCTTGAAATTTTTTTTATCATATAGTTTAATCTTTACACAATGTCTCCTCCATTGGCAGAGTCATTCACTTTACTCTCAAATGACAGTCAGAGGCTTTTTATCCGGCTATACTCTAGAAAAGGTTATTTGAATATTTCAATTTAACTTCTGTTGTTTGATATAAAGTGCTTGTGATATTTATAGTGATTTTCTCGTTTTTGATCATTTTTTTTTTTATTTTAAAAGGGAAAGAAATAGTAAAATAAGATGATATGTAATCTTGTTAATCATAGTAAAAAGATAAAGCCTTTAGAAACAAATGAACTCATGAAGACAATTGAGTGTTCCAATTCCTAAGCACCTCTATCTGAGATTCTTGATGATAATATGTGCTGCAACCAAAGAGGCCATAAAGACAGTTATTTTCTGCAACATATTTGATCAGAGACTACCCAAATATGTACACTTTTAACATTCTCCTTTACCCGTCCCAAATCACCAAAAGACATCTTACATAGCATACTCCTATTTTATTGGGGGAAAAAAAACTAGCACAATACCATTAAACTTCGTGCTTCTTCCATATTCCTACCAAAGCCTTTGAACCTAATCTGAGGTAATTACTAGAAAATATTCCAACAAATTCATGGTAAATTAAAATGGTTATGGGTAGTGTAAAATAAATTAACTGTCATTTTTGAATTAGAACAATATTTTACACATTAGAATACAATTCTTTATGATGTCTGGAAATTTGCAAGTTGCAACATATCAGTAATATCAATATTTCTGATTTTTCATATAAATGAAATCTTGGGGGAAGATTTTGGTCCATGGAATGAAAAAGGCTCTTTTCCAATTACCTTGGCATTTGGAGTACATCTGAATCAAAGGTCCTTAAAGGAAGTAGGCTATGAATTCTCTAGTCATGTGGGAACTTCTTAAGGCAACTACAGAAACTGACACCAAGCCATAGTAGCTTAGGAATTGACTGTAACATTATTGCCACGTAAACTACCTTTGCAAGATGATTTTCGTAACAGTTGTGCTAGAGAAATATAAAATCATTAATATAGCCTCACCCAACAGCTTAAGCTTTTGGGTTGAATTGATGCTTTATATGGAATTAGAGCTGATGTGAATGAGTGGTCATGAGTTCAATCCTTACCGCCTCAGTGTATTAATAAAAATAATTAAATATTGTGGAGTTTATTAACACAAGTAGGTTGGGTCTGATACATCATCCACCCTTCAAGCTCAATTGGCTCGTGTGAGGGGGTGTGTTAGAGAAATATAAAATCATTAATGTAGCCTCACCCAATAGTTTAAGCTTTTGGATTGAATTGGTGCTTTACAACTTGTCTACCCTAAAGCATTAAAAATTGGTAGTGCCAGATTACCCACATCACAAAATGTAGATATATATCATGACAGTGGAAATGTCTTTTATTCATTATTCATGTCATGGAAGTACCAGTGTACCACTCATCTGTGAAATGTTTTGAGCAGTAGTGCATCTGGGCATCTAACGGATATGCTTCAATTTATATCTAAGTAGAAACTGTAGTGTCACAATAAAAAAAAATAACCACTTCCCATTCAACCCTAATTAGTTAGGGTAGGGATGATGATAATCTTTGTACACAGCCTTATCCATGCATATTTACAAAGAGGTAAACCCGTAACCTTTTTGTTACGAAGGAACAACTTTACCATTTACTTCAAGCTCACCCTCTTAATTTAGTGCAGAAATAGTTATAAGAAAAATGTTTATTGGAGTAAATTGCTTTCTTGATGTCATTTTTTGTACCTAAGTTGTGGTTGTACTGAACTAGCTAGTTCTTTTTTAAATTGTTTTTATTTTTTTGGAGTTGATATATTTTTCATATTGGACTCTTATGAAGGACCTTGGTTTCGCATGTCTAGTATATCATATTCTGAAATAGTGGATGCTCAAAACGCAGTCAAGGAACTTGCTGGTAATTTATTATAATTAGAAAGGTTTATTTTTTCTTTCCTAGCAAACATAATTGGCTATCTTACTGACAAACCCTTCTTATTGCCACCTTTGTGACCTGTATCTTTGGTATGGTCATGTTGCAGAGAAAGGATACATATGTTCTGTTGAAGATGCAAATCAACTGTGTGAAAGTGACATGAATGATATCTTGAATATTCTCACTGTCCCTGAGCTGCAAGAAATTTGGTGTTTTTTGCTTAAAAAGGTTGGAATCAATCGCTAGTTTTAGAGCTATATTTTATTTTCATCACAATCTTCATCATTAATGGATTTTACTAGTTGTCTTACATTGTCTACAAGTTTCATGCTCCATGAGTTCATAACGTGGGTATTAATATCCTTTATGATGAAATAATAGTTGTTTCCTTCGACATACATGAAGTGATATTAATTTTCCCTTCATATAGGTCTGTGCAAATCTCAGCTTGATTTATGCTGTTTCCTGTTTGTTTCTTGGTTCGTGCATCCATATGCAACACTTGGATCAATTTTGCAAATTATGTTTCAATATTTCAGATCTTACGTACCTAACACATTTCCCCCCCCTTTTTTCTCTTTTGATTTACTTTTTTATTTTCATTATATAGGTTAAGAGAGAAGCCTGAGCATATATATGTTTTATATTATAAGTGAGTGGAGCATTTTGGATGGATCCTTCTAAATTTGGTTGTATCCATAGTAGATGCTCCTAAATTGATTGGCTTTCGATGACTACATAGTAAGAGACATACTTTGTGGACAGATACGGGCCAAACATAAGAACATTCTATTGTGTTTCTGTATATATAAATGTTAATAAAATTGTCATAAGCCGGAGGTAATGCATTTCCTATGTATTATTTCCTCTGTCTCTCCTAGTCAATTCTCTCATGAGCTAGCTATAAAATTTAGTATATTCTATTGATGTTCTAGAGTTGCAGTCGTGGGATGAAGAAGCAGCATCTCATTTCATCTCTTCTTTCTACATATGCAGGCGTACTATGGTATTCATACTTTTAGTTGTGTTTTTCTAATTTGTAAAGGAGTCAATTAGTGTTTTGTTTAATGCTTGGTTCGTGTTGTTGTATATTCAGGACCCACCTATCAACTATGATTTTGAATAGAACTGGTTCCTGTATTAGGATTTCTTCAAGAGCTGAATCTCTTATTTGGCGTACTGAGGTATCGCTTTGACTTCTTCTGCGTGTGTTGGTTGCAAATTTGGTAAAATTGGATATTATTTACTTCTCACATAAATGATATTGCTTTTACAGAGACTTTTCTTCTTAAATGGAGAACAGGATCTTTCATCCTTTCTACTAGTTGATATGGGAAAAATAAAGTATCCAACTTACAACTGCATAATATCAGAACCAATTTTCTCAAATCGCAGGAATCTGCTCTCATATGAAGAGGTACATGTCTAACTTCAGAGATGCTATTGGCTGTCCCTTCTTTCATTTTGTATGACATTGGTTTTTCAGGCCATTGAAGTGGCACAAATTATGGATGAAGCTCTTGATGCAAACAGAACTGATGTGGTATTGAGATGCATAGAGATTGCTGAATCCCGTGTACCCACTGCTTTGCCCATACAATACTCGACTTCTGAATCAGTAACTACAATTCGTCGCTTATTTACAGCATCATGGGTATACTCCAAAGTGATCTCATTAGGGATTTCCTTCCTTGAGCAAGAGCGCAGGTATGGAATTTCGCGGTTTAATCTACAAATTGTTAACACTTTTTTAAAGCTGTCAAATGAATGCATAGTGTAGTTAAAAACCTACATGAATTAGTAGGGGATGTCCTAAACATGTACAAGACTAATGTAAATATTAAAGCAGAAATATTTAGAGCTTGTGTTGTATGGCATTATTGGAATCCAGTTTTAGGAAAAGACAATCAGAAATTAATGGGGAAGCAGAATTACACTAATTGAAAGGAAAATATATTAAATTATTTCTCTACTGTTCCAATCACTTGACGAGGCCCCACCTCTCAAGTCCACTACATATGCTTGTAAAAAGTGGATGGTGGTTGATGACATATTTTATCAGGTTCAGATTACCTTGGTTCCTTCCACTGATGATGGTACCCAGCACTATAATGCCTTAAAACGGTTGTGAAATAACTTAAAACTTATAGCAGCAGGATTTTTCTCATATTCATGATCTGTTCTTCACATATACTACTAGTAGAATGTCGAGGACGACCTTACTCCCAAATTAGAGTCGAGATTAAACATGCTTTTGCAGAGATGCAGGCCCCGTTTCTCATTACTAGTGATGTGGAGAAACAGAAGCAAGAACAACTGGTAGTTGAATTTTTTTACAGGTCCTGATCCAAGATATGATATTTCTGGCACTAGCTTGCTGACACCAATTTAATATCTCTAAGTGATGTGTATCTTAGGCTTCTTAATGTATGTTGAGATTCCAATAAAGATGCTTAGAGGGTTTGATTCTAGTGATGCAGCTCCTTAGTACCGATTTGAGTAGTGAAAATGGCACGGGAGGCAGGGTGTTGTGATGGTGGGTGAGTCACTGATGCTTTTGTTTGTGTTAACTTATAATTGTGTTGAGACTGGTGACTGGTCACATCAAGTGATCGAACAAAGTTGTTTAAGGTTAGTTGGTCTATCTGCGCAAACCAGACATCAGCATAATCCCAGCAGTTTGCCTTTGCTACTACTCAGGATTGGCTATTGCCTTCATTTCCCATGGTCAAGTCTGTTGTTCTTACTATTGCTATGACAGCTAATTGGTGCTAGATATACCCAGTTTTAGACCTCCTAGGAAACACCATCTTCTACTGCCCCCCTGGGCCCAAACAAGTTTCCTCATTGCTTGCTTTGTTACCATCTCTTTTTGTTGCGTTATTGATTCCAGATATGACTACCCTAGTTATGCAGGTTCCCCTGCTGCCTTTCATCCATCAACCACATTATTGTATTTATTTGTCCATGTTTACTGAATGAAATAGCTTCACATATAAAAGATGCTGAACTCTAGGTCCTTCTCCTAGTCTAATGAACTCCAATAACGAAGCAAGAGCTCAAAGGATTTTGTCTAATATGATTCTATATTTGATGTTATGCAAACATGTCTTAGATATGCTTATTTTAACGGATGTGGGATATGCTACTTTAATGCTGAACTTTATAATTAATTGAGAACTTTTCCATTCATATGATAAGATAATGCAGCAGCACATCATTTGTGCTAATAGTGCACTTGGTTGCCATTTATGTAGAAATAGTTGGAGCTTATATCTCTTCTTACATTGACATGGTATTATGGTTGCAGTTTATTTATCTTCTTGTGCACTACAGATGTTGAAGAGAAGTGATCTCTGTTTCTCAGGTACAGTGATGCAATTGACTTACTAAAGTGGCTGCTAAATGTTTTCACTTGTGATGTAAGAAGAGGATATTGGACGCTGAGGTTATCAGTTGACTTGGAGCACCTGAGATGCATTGATAAGAGCCTTCAAGTAGCTGAAAATGGGTTGCTGGATCCATGGATACGTGCTGGTTCAAGAATGGCACTGCAAAGGCGGGTTCTTCGCTTAGGAAAACCACCAAGGCGTTGGAGAGTTCCTAGCTTTTCTAGGTCTGCTCTGCAGAAGATCCCTGAGGTAATTTGTTATTGTTTTATGATCATGATTCTAACTTCTGATTTGGCAAATTGACATTACATATCTCCTTTAACATTATGGCTTTCTCATTGTGGCCCATGTGATGATTCAGGTTTATGTTCGAGGGAGACCTTTGAATTCTGAATTGGGAGCAAAGAACAGATTCTACAATGAAGAAGGTAAGCAATGTGGAGTGGAAGAGCTTGCTTTGCATTATTATGCTGGGGAGGGTGGTGGATGGCAAGGTGTTCATACAGAGAGTGGGATATGGTTAACCATTTTTGGGCTTCTTATGTGGGATGTCATATATGCTGATGTGCCAAATGTCTTCTATACTAGATTTCAGGTACATTTTATTGAATGAATAATTAACCTTCCATCTTTTCTCAAGTCTCAATTTTTTGCTGTATTTTAATCCATGTTTTCAAGAAGCGGGAGCCTTATGCTGGATGATTAGTTCTTCCTCTCTTCCCTCTACAGTTTTCTTTATTATGACTGTTCTCTGAAGCTGCTTTACCCTCACTTTAAATTTTTTGGGGAAGCCACCCACTAACTTTTTACCTAAAAGACTGACAAACTAAGGGACAAAGGATCTTAATCTTTCCATGAACCTTCAATTCTTGGAACTGAATTCTGTTCACCTATGTTGGGAGTACCTACAGATTGTTTTCCTTTTCTTGATCACTGTTACAATCATCCTCTACGAATCTTATTTTTCATTATTATACTCTGCTGTAGTTTAATCAAAGATTCGGTTTACTAAAATTACCTCCTCCTTTTTTATTTTGTCTCATTTTCCTTCACGGATGTTTTCCTTTTGTACCTTCCTCCCCTGATTTGTTTACTTTTACTTAATAGGCTTAAAAAAATTAAGTCTATAACATTGGAGACTCATACATTATATTTGATTATAAACAGTTATATTCATTCATTATAAACAATTATATTCATTCGTTGTACTTTGTCTTTGAAATTACAGAATGCTCCTTTGGATTTGGGTACTGATAGCTTTTATACAGCTAGAAAAAGCAGCATAGAATCCCATCTGCAGCAAATTCGCGATGGCATGGCTGAGGAGTTTCTTATTAAGTCGTGGGAAACACATATCGGAACAGCTTGTAGAGGAGTTAACTGGGACCGCCATTCTTTAGATGAGCTTCGTGCTGCTGTTACTTGTGTTGGGGCCCCTTGTTTGGCATCTCTCTGCCAACTTCTTGCTCAAGACTATCGGAGCTGGTCTAGTGGAATGCCTGATTTGCTGCTATGGCGTTTCCATGGAGAATACAGTGGTGAAGCCAAGCTTGTTGAAGTGAAAGGCCCCCGGGATCGACTCTCTGAACAGCAGCGAGCATGGCTACTACTGCTTATGGAATGTGGATTTATGATCGAGGTTTGTAAAGTGAAACCTTTGTAGAACTACGAAAATTATAAGTTGTTTAAAACTGCTGGAGAAGCAAATTGAAGATTACAGCTCTTGCAAAACTTTCATCAGAGAAGAGTTCACAAAAGTTCATTATTAATTTTCAAGCATTACTCTTCTGAAAGAAAAGGAACTGCTCTAGATCAAAAGTGAACTACTCTAGACTGAAATAAAGGGAGATCTTCCATAGGAAAATGTGGAAAGTCTATGATCTGATGAAGTAGCCCGGATGGAAATATATTGGTCCCACATAACGAAGTAGTTGAAGGAGTTCTGGAGTAGCTGTTTCAGATTCCATCCTCCTGTTATGCTTGGGCTTTCGGATTCTCATTGAAATATTCATGCTACAAGTACAGGTCTTGCTCCTCTCTTTTCCCTCATTCAATTATTTGGTTCCAAGCCTTCATAGTCTAGACACTGGTTCTATGTATATAATTTTTTTTTGGTAAACTGGTTCTATGTATGTTAAGTGGGTTATCTCGTGCAAATTAAATTCTTGTTGTCCATAAATCAAAAGTAAAAAGATGTTAAACTCAATCACACAAGTGGGTATAATTGTTTTCGAGGAAGGATATTTTTACTACTAAAATTTTTTACTACCAACTTACTACCTATCTAATCACCATTGAATTAAAGAGAAAGAATGCTAAAAAAATTTTGAAAAAAGAAAAAATGTTGATCTAATGGTGATTAGATAGGTAGTGAGTTGGTAATAGAAGATTTTAGTAGTAAGAATATCCCTCCTTATTGTTTTCAACTTGATTTTGTCATTGTTAGAACTCAACTATTGTTTGACTTTACAAATTCCGGTCAAATGCTACAGCCAACCCTCTTCATTTATCTATCCATTTCAGTTCTTAATTTAGCATGGTTATCCAATGTCTTTTCTTCGTTAAGTCTTAGGTTCTAGATAGATCATAGATAGCGGGCGTAGAGCAGAGGGAGAAGTGTATGTGTGAACATTAAAGTCTTCGAGGTTAATATTAAACTAGAGTTGATTTAAGGCTTAAGTTTAAATTACGTCAACTAAAAGCTTTTGGGTTTATTTTTTATGCTGGTTTTTGGAAGCTTTAATTGTGGTTTGTAGCATGCCTTCACTTTCGAATGGGCACCTTTTTCTTCCAAATTTTTTGTATATTTACAAAAAAAAAAAGGTATAAAGCTGGGGGACCTGAAAAAGATTTTTAAAAAATGTAATTCGATAACAATTTGTATGTCGGACGAGAAAGCAAAATGTTCACTATTCATGTCATTATCAAAATTTCTAGGTTGTGATTGGTGCAATAACTTCATCGATAACTTAGTATGTATTATCTCATTTTTATTCACTTTATAACGATTAGATTAAAATCCCATTTTTAAATATTTGTATACCAAATTTGATACTTGAGTGAATATTACATTAATTTAGTCATTGAAATGATTCTTTTTTTTATATCAAAATAATTCAAAAGCTATTATATATTCGGAACAAATTATTGTCCTGTGATGACAAAAAATTATTTTAGGATTAATCTGATGGTTTATTTAAAATTAAATTGTTGTTTTAAAATTTTTTCGAAGACCAAATTAGACATCTATTCTAACAATTAAACAAGCTGTAAACATATAAATATTCAAAATAATTTCAATTAACTAAAAGGAGATTTATCAATAACAAATACTATCATTTTATTAAGCTGAAAAGTGAGGAAGGGGATTAGCTAAAACTTCTACAGAATGAGAATCTCTTTACTAAAAAAATATACAGAATCTTCTATCATTTTGTGTGTCCAACTAATTTTAGTATTTTCGACAGAGCAGGATCAATTAACTAACACTTAAAGATGAATTCAGTTTTAAGAAATAAAACACAAACTTCCTTTCATATAATTTAACAAAATAAATTTATGTCTGCACTATCTCTTTTAATTATAAAAACATTTCTAAATATCTTTATTACCTACAAGTTTTTGAAAAGTTCATAGAATCTATAACTATCTTTTTTTTAATACAAATAGGAATTGAACATATAACCTAATACAATCTACTCAAATTTCTCACCTCTATACTAGTTCCAGTGGCTTACAATCTCTTTAACCAACACTTAAACGTTTTGTTATTTTTTTTTAAATTATTTCACTCTTTTATGAGAGGACATATTCTCAAAGAATCTATAAGACCATCTCTAAAAAAATATCAATTTAGTTCTAATTTTAGAAGATTTCAACTAAACCTCAACTTAAATGCAATAGCAAATTAGGGCGGGATGACCTATTCAGGTCCTAAAGAAAATTACCAAAATGGGTCGCATCAAAACCTATTTATTAGGGGTATTCATCAACCGATCCGAACCAATGTAACTGAATTGAAAAACTGATAAATGAATTAACCAAAAATCGAAAACTAAAATATAAAAAACAAGCATATTTTAATTGGATTGGATCGATTTTCGGTTTAGTTGGTGAAAACCGACTCAATCCAAATTGATCCAATGTATTATGTATTTATTATTTTTGAAAGATGGTAACTTAGAATCTTGTTGTTTTATAGACTCAGAATCTTCAATGTTATTGATAGCAAATTATCTTGTTTTATTTTTTATTGTCTATTAATTTATCTTAACTCTTCATGAGTTTTAAGACTTATTTTAGTTTGAAGACTTGAATTTTTTAGTGTTTGTAACTTTGAATAGCTTTATTTTGACATAACTAGTGACTTGTATGGCTGAAATTTTAATCTTTTCGAAAAATCGAAAATCAATCCAATCCAAACTGAATAAAATTGGATTAGATCAAATTTTAAAAAAAAAATTCAAACTGAATGAATGATTAAAAGAACTTTTTATTTAGTGCCCGTTTGAATGAGCTTTTAAAAAATGACTTTTTATGCATTACTTTGTTTAAAAGAACTTTTTTTATACGGTAAATTTATTTTACGTTTGGATATATGATCTGAAAATCATTTTTACATAAAAAAGTTATTTGGATGTTAAAATAAAAAAAACACTTTTTATATATAAAATTACAATAAAGGAGAGATAAAATAGCATGATCGTGAAATGAGGAGAGATAAAATATATATGATAGGATGATGTTAAAATTGTATTTTAAAAATTTATATTATATTTTTTCAAAATAAATAAATTATATTATCTTTTAATTTTTTCTTTTTTGAAAAGCAACCAACTACTGGCTACAGAAAAAAGCAGCATTTTAACTTTTATTTTAAATTATGCTTTTTTAAAAAGTTGTTATCCAAACATCTAGAAATTCTCAAAAGAACTTTTATTTTTTAAAAAAGTAACTTTTTTAGGAATAAAAGTCCATCCAAACGGACACTAAATAATCAAATCAAAAATATTGAATTAGACGATTTTTACTTCAAAATCGATACAATATAGAGAATAAACACCCCTACTATTTATATGTTTGAAATTGAAAAGTATTTGAAATTGAAAAATAGGTGGTATTCCAAGGCAAGACACTATTCGAGTCAAAATCTATTTGTCATCTTTCATTTTTATTTATTTTTAAATAAAGGGATGCCACTTCCATTTTATTGAAAAAAAAATCATCAAATATAACTAAAATTGTGACAAAGTTTGCAAATATTTGCTCTAGGAATAAGTGGCTTCTGTTAATGCCATAAACGACATAAGGGCATTCTAGTGCTACATTGTAATTTTCATTTTGGAGAAGTTGTGGAATATATCTAACAACGTTGTAACTTACATTTTGACCATACTGTCTCGTTAATGATTTTAAATAGTTGATAGTTAGAAAATGGATTTTTTTTGGGTGTAAAAATGGATTTTTTTTTAATAGACTGAGAATAATGGCATATTTGCTGATGTGCTAACATGTGACAACACCATAGCATATGTGATAATAGACCTAGTGAATTTGTATGTTTTTTAATAAAGTTTGACCTAACCACTTTTGTTAATTTATTTATTGAACTCAGATGGATAATAAGCCGCAAATTTGGATGTAATTTTTGCCAAAAAAATTGAATGAGTTGAAATTTGAGTGTACCAGTTTCTTTATTTTTAGGAATTTGATGCTGTAGGTCTATAATAAATTTGATGTAAGTTTATTTTTAATTTTTTTATGTTTAGTTTAATGTTAATTGGTTTGTAATAAGCTATATTATCTTTATTTATATTTTTACGAAATCCAATTTTAATTGACAAAAAGACTGAGATTTAATTATTTACAAGATTCAATTATGTCCAAAATTTTCAAACTTTACCTCTACAGATTCATCAGCCTCTGAACCAACTTAGGTTCATCGAGTGCAACTAAACTCAGATAACAATTCAGTTCAAAATCATATATGGTTACTAAAATAAATTAAAAATAAAAATGTTTTAAATCCTTAGTATATTATATTACTTATTACCTGTTAATAGGGACCACCTATTGGGTAGTGCGGAGGAAGATAATATATAGTTATATACTCAAGAGTTTGCATGAGGTTGTCATCATCTCTCTTTTCGTCCACACATATCCCACATGCCACTTTATTTATTCATTCATTCATATTCTCATCGCAATTCGCAAAGTCATAATACCTATTGCGTTTTCCTGCCTCCTTATTATTATTACTATGGCAAAATATTAGTAATATATTCTTTGATTCTTTTCACAATTTTTTTGTGAATTTTATTAAATAATAATAAAAAAGTTTAGGCTTAAATAATATTTTTTTAATTATTATTTTTAAAATATTAAACTTTTCTTAAACTTATTATTATATTAAAATTTGTATCTTCTCGTATTTGACTTCTTGTATCATAAAAAATATAAAAATAAATATTACAGGTTCTATACACAATTATAAATCATTGTGTCATTATATATATATATATATATATATATATATATATAAATAAGGTTTAATATATTTATATAAGATAAGTTTATCTCCTACACATATAAAAGTGTGTGGGTCCATATAGGTCTATAAGAAAAGAAAAGAAAGAAAATGAAAATACGAGCTCTAAACACTTTTATGTGTATAGGAGATAAATTTTTTTTTTTTTACCTTCTTATCTTTAATATTATTGTATTTAAATTTTACCTTTTGTCTCTCCTCTTAAGATGAATAGATAAGATGGGAAAAAAATAAAATAATAAATAATAAATAATATATATATAGGGGAAATAGTTTTCTCATTTTATATGAGAATTTTTTTTATATTACACTCATAATACATGAATGAATTTCATCTTGATTTTTTGTCTTCTCATTTCTTTTTGGATCCCATTCATATATTATGCATATAATATAATTTTTTTTTCTCGTATCAAATGAGAAAATTAATTCCCTGTATATATATCGAAAGAAAACAAAGAGAAAATCTTGAGACGTTTTTAGTGAATCTTTTACTTTTTCAGTAACATCTTCCCCCTCATAAGATATTATTATTATATGATTATGCAATAGAAGAGAAAACCGTCTTTCTTTACCCTTTTCAATTCCGAAAACATACTGCAATCAAGGCAAGCTTTGAACTTGCAAGCATACACACCATCATGTCCTACCAGGACTTGTACCCATTTGATCACATGGCCGAAGAAGATTTCTTTGATGAAATAGATGACCAAAACTATGGTGGGGGTGTTGAAGATGTTGGTCTTGATGAATATGAGATGGTTTGTTTGTTTGTTTTCCCTTTTCCTTTTTCTATTACTGGGTCTGCATTTTTTGAGTGGTTGTTTTATGTATTCATTCATTGAACTGAGAAAATATTTTTGTTTTTGTTTTTGTTTTTGTTTGCTGTGTTTGATTATTGGAGCAGCTTACTAAGGTGACTGATACATCATCTGTGCAAGCAAGGAAGGGGAAGGACATTCAAGGTATTCCATGGGAGAGGTTGAACATAACAAGAGAAAGGTATAGATTGACAAGGCTTGAGCAGTACAGGAATTATGAGAACATTCTTTCATCTGGTGAAGCTGTAGATAAGGTTTTAAATTTTTCCTTTTATCCCTTTTTTCTTTTAAGGTTGTTGGGAGGTAGGGAAATAACATAAGAAGTTGTTTGACAAATATTTTATATTCAATTTTATATTTTTATTTCTTTTTTCGTCCCAGGAGTTCAAACAAATGGAGAAGGGTGGCAAATACTATGAATTCTTTTATAATACAAGAGTGGTTAAGCCTACTATCCTTCATTTTCAGGTTTGTTGATTTTTATTTTCTTATGCTTCCTGTACCCAATTATTTCCTTGCTATTCGTCTGTATCTTTGAATGGCTAATAAGTATCTAGCATTGCTTGACCAAAATGTTGTGGGTTGTGTGGCTGTCTTGTGTTGTATGGTTGCACCTCTTCTTGTGCACTAATTTCACTCATGTATATTGAGAAAACAAAACTGGATAATCTTCAAATCTATTATATTGTGTGTCTCTAATCCTTTAACTGTACTGTGCCGTACAAGTTGGTTTCAAGTTGTTTTGTTTATATAATAAATCTACCACGTGCCAATTTGCTCTGGAGACTACAGTACTATTTCTTTTTTATAGTTTACTGTCTTACAAAATGTAGGCTTGAGTAGTTTTTTAATTAATTTTCAAGCTTAATGACTTTTGATAAGTAAAAATTCTTGCCTAATGACATGCTTGTCTGTGGGATGCAGCTGAGGAACTTAGTATGGGCTACTTCAAAACATGATGTCTACCTTATCTCCAATTACTCAATTATGCACTGGTCATCAATAAGGGGAAATTTGTCTGAGGTAGTCAATTTTGCCGGGCACGTGGCCCCTACCGAGGTAATGCAGTCTCTTACACAACCTTGTTCATCTATAAAGAAAGAGGAATGAGAATGCTATTTGCTTTTCCATGCTTTATTGATGTAAGACTTGTGTAGAAACCTGCAAATTTTTGTTGGATCATAAGAAACCTGTAGCTGTTCAATATGCACATGTGATTAATGAATCTAGAAAAGTTAACATGATTCGTTTGAGAAAATAATTTACTTAAAGAGTGTTAATTAGAAATGATTTTGTTTTTATGCAAGAACCAGATCTAAATGTTGTTAATGATTTTTCTTTACTTTTATGATTTCTGAGCTTTACTTAACTTATACATTCTTTGGTCTTGTAGAAATATGCAGGAAATCTGTTGGAAGGATTTTCACAGACCCAGATTAGCACATTGGCTGTCAAGGATAATTTACTTGTTGCTGGTGGCTTCCAAGGAGAGCTTACTTGTAAGGTGAGTCCACATGATTTGTACCTTATCATATCCACATGATTTAAAATCAGGAAATAATGTCTGATATGCCATTTTTTTGTTTTCTCATACTGTGCCCTGGGGAGGGATACTAACTCCTCTATAGATGGACTTCAGAAGACTGATCTCAAGCAGTTATAGATTGTATATACGTGATGTTGCTTGAACATCCATCCATTGGGAGACATTAAATTCTCTTGAAAAGCTAGGTTGCTGTGAACACATAGTCCCATGCTCAAATGTAGGGTAGGTGGCTATAGAGGGTTACGCTTGATTGAATGGCGGGTTATGAATATGGAATTAGGGATGTGGGGGATTCTGTCGGCATGTGGTCCTTTGCATTAAGCTAATAGTGAGTTTGAGTCTAAACTCCCACTCATGAAAACTACATTTTTTATATTATCCTTATTGGTACTTAAGGGGGACACACTTTTAGTAGGTTTTCATTCTTAGTGGACTTCCTATTAAAGATTGTCGAGCTTGAGCTTTGACAGTTGGTGAGTAATATCTAGAGGTAGGACTGAAAAGCTTCTTGCATTTTCTGGAATAATCCTATTATTAAATCTGTTCTGTTTGTCATTCAGTCTTATTGGAGTAGTGTCTTTGTCTTCCCTGTAAGATGATGATTAAGGCTGAGGAATAAGAAACTTCTAATTAAACTTCTCAATCAAGCTCCACTTAATCACCTAGGATTAATCCCATTTAACCCTTGATTTTAGGGATCAAGTCAAACCTTCCCTAACTCACAAGATTTTCCTCAATAGTTTTTACTTTTTTTACTCTTTACACACCTGTCAAGCTAATGCTTACAATGGCTTCAGTATATGTAGGATATGCTTGGTATGGGCTGCGCTTGTTTAAGTACCAATGTACCATACTTGAACTCTGTTAGGAACTTCCAAATCAATAAAAACAATCAACTCAGAAATACCAGTTATGGGACTGAATCAATCCATTTTCATATATTTGTGAAACAAATTACAACCGAGACTAGAATTCAAATACAATGCGTAATTAAACTAACAACTCTTCTGTAAGAAAATAACAATGCACAGTAGAATGAAAAGTAAGATAGGTGTGAGACAGTTGGAGAGGTCTCACTCTCTCCCAAGCACCAATGCTCTACTATTTTCACTGGATGCTGGTATCATGCTTCTCCACTTCCTTATAACAGAATTCCCTCAGCCTTGCCTTTCCACGCATGCATTCTGTTAAGGGGCAACTTGGTCATCCCCACTAGCTGATACAGATGCATTTCCCAATGGCCCTTCAGTCTGGCTTGAGCCCATTTCAACATTGCCCAATTGATTTGAGCCCATTTCAGCCTTAGCAGCCCATGTTCGTCTATTTTTATCCCTCTTATAGACATGTGTAACTGGGTTCCTAACAATACTCCCCCCCAATTTAAGCACCTTGTCCTCAAGGTGGAAATGAGGAAACTGAGCATTTATAACAGCAAACTCCTCCCAAGTACTCTCAAACTCTGGCAGATTGGACCATTTGATTAAGACTTCTAAAACACCCTGCTGTGTGTACCGCCACTGGCTGACCAGTTCAGGCTCGACCTGAAGCTCCCACTCATCGGACAAGCATTGAGGCAGGGGTTGTGTTACCAGACCAGCAGTTACCGCAGGTTTAAGCAAAGACACATGGAACACCGGATGCACCTGACAGTGAGCTGGCAATTGTAATTTATAGGCAGTAGCCCCAATTCGATCCAAAATCATGTAAGGTCCATAAAAGCGTGGGCTCAATTTTTCATTGACCCTTTTAGCAATAGTTTTGAGCCTATAAGGCTGTAACTTAAGGTAAACAAAGTCACCAACTTGAAATTGCAGATCTCTCCTCTTTTGATTAGCATGTCGAGCCATACGGTCTTGAGCTTGAAGAAGTTGGTTTTGCAGTTCCTGTAAGATGATATCTCTGTCAGCCAAGGCCTGAGAGACTTCATCTACTGCTGATGCAAAACTGGTTACTTTGAGCAAAGTAGGTGGTTCAGTTCCATAGAGTGCCCGGAATGGGGTCATACCAGTTGAGCCTTTGTAAGTGGTATTGAACCAATACTCGGCCCAATGAACCCATTTGGGCCAATTGTTGGGTTTGGGACCACAAAAACAGCGGAGATACACTTCCACACATTTGTTGACAGCCTCCGTCTGTCCATTTGATTGTGGATGGTATGCGGTGGTATAATGGAGCTTGGTGCCAGCACTCCTAAATATTTCAGCCCAAAAAGTGCTCATGAACACACGGTCTCTGTCAGAAACTATGGTCATGGGAAACCCATGCAACCGTACGACCTCCCTGATAAACAAATCTGCTATTCCACGTGCTGTATAAGGGTGTTTGATTGAAAAAAAATGTGCATACTTAGACAGACGATCTACCACCACAAAGATCGTGTCTACATTGTCTTGGGTAATTCTCCTATAAAATCCATGGAGATATCTGCCCAGACCTTAGTGGGAATGGGAAGGGGCTGTAGTAGACCCGCAGGGGTGAGATTCTGGGATTTACTTTGCTGCCAGATGGAGCAAGCTGCAACAAAATCTTTAATGCATTTTTTCATCCCCTCCTAATACACCAGACCCATCAACCGTTTATAGGTGCGCAAAAAACCAGAGTGGCCACCCATACTGGAACCATGAAACTCTTCTAGCAGTAAAGGAATAAAAGTGGAATGCTTGGGAAACACTAACCTGTCCTTGAAGAACAAACGGCCTCCTTGCAACGAAAAATTATGGTGAGCTTTAGGATTAACCAGCAACTCCTGACTGATCAAACGTAGCCTGCTGTCCTCATGAACCTCCCTTTCAAGTTGGTCCAAATCTGGTAATTGTAACTGAGACAAACTAGCTAACTGCATTTGACGAGAAAGAGCGTCTGCTACCAAATTTTCCTTGCCCGGCTGATACTGGATTTCGAAGTCAAACCCAATGAGTTTAGACATCCACCTTTGCTGCTCTTTCCCCAAGTTCTTACGTTCCAACAGGTGTTTTAGGCTTTTTTGATCCGTCTTCACTATAAAATGACTCCCCATCAAATAATGTTTCCATTTTTGTAAAGCAAAAACGATGGCCATTAGCTCCTTCTCATAAACCGATTTGGTTTGAGCTCTAGGGGAAAACCCCTGACTGATGTAAGCCACTGGTCGATTCCCTTGGGTGAGTACAGCTCCTACACCTTTTCCTGAAGCATCCGTACATACTATAAAAGGCTTCTGAAAATCTGGTAGAGCTAGAACTGGCACAGAGACCATACACTTCTTCAACTGGTCAAAAGCTTCTTCAGCCTCTGAGTTCCAATGAAACCCATCTTTTTTCAACAAATTAGTCAGAGGTTTGGCTATTTTACCATAGTCTTTGACAAAGCGCCTGTAATACCCTGTCAATCCCAAAACCCCCCTCAATTTTTTAATCGTTTTGGGAATGGGCCAGTCAGCCATAGCCCTCAATTTACTTGGATCAGCACTGATGCCTACTGCAGAGATTATATGACCGAGGTATTCCACCTGATCACTTCCGAATTTGCATTTTTTTTTATTCACAACCAGTTGATGCTGCCTTAACACTTCAAATACCCTCCTCAAGTGGTCTTCATGTTCAGCCCTGCACTTACTGTAAATTAAGATGTCATCTAGGAACACCAACGAGAACTTCCTCAGAAAAGGCCTAAGGATCTCATTCATCAACGCCTGGAAGGTTGAGGGTGCATTCGTCAAGCCGAAGGGCATCACTAAGTATTCATAGTGCCCTTCGTGTGTCCGGAAAGCTGTCTTCGGAATATCCTCTTCCCTCATCCTAATCTGGTGATATCCAGATTTAAGATCCAATTTAGAAAAAATACTGGATCCCCCAAGTTCATCCAGCAACTCCTCTACCACAGGGATGGGAAACTTGTCAGGTATAGTGAACTTGTTAAGAGCCCTATAGTCAACGCATACACGCCAACTGCCGTCTTTCTTTCTCACTAATATGACCGGACTTGAATACAGACTGGTACTATGTCTGATCCAACCATTACCCAACAACTCAGCAACTAGATTTTCAATCTCAGTCTTTTGATAGTGGGGATACCTGAAAGGCCGTAAATTAGGGATTTGCCCTCCTGGTTTGAGGTGAATGGCGTGGTCACAATTCCTTGTGGGAGGTAGATGCTTTGCTTCTTGAAATAGGTCCGCATATTCTGCCAATAGACCTTCTAACCCGTTCCAGCTTTCACCTTCTTCTCCAACAGTGCCTGTCTCCACACTCAAGTAATATCCTTCCCCCTGGTCTCTCAAAGCTTTCACAATAGATTTGAACGACACTTCCGACCTGGATAACGAAGGATCTCCCCTCAGTTTAACTTCTGTCTCTCCCTGCCCAAAGGAGATAGTTAGCTCCTTAAACTTAGCCCGTATGTGTTACGACAAGGGTATCAAATATTGATAACACCAGTAGACACAAGAAAGGAAAATAAAGAAGAACAGTAAAGAAAGAGAAAGAGAGACAATTTTATTGAATCAAGTATAATGGTTACAAGAGACTTGCTTTTCTCAAGGGAAAGGTTCCCTTCAATTCTGAGATGAAACTCAGAGGATACAAGACAATTCCCAAAAGTGCCACAACAATTACTAATACTCCTATTTATACAAAATCCTCTCTCCCATTCCTCTTCCCACCGTAACTAACTTCTCAACCGTTTTGTACCTCTTCTCTACTTATTCTTGGTTTATTCCTATGGGTATAAAACCTCCACGTAGCAGGTTGGTACCTTGGTGATGTATCAACCGTAACAATACCTCCTTCCTGCGGAACAACCTTGTCCTCAAGGTTGAACTCCGGAAATTGCTGCTGCATAGTAGAGATATCCTCCCAAGATGCTTCTTCAACAGGAAGCTTCTTCCATTGCACTAAAACTTGATCAACTGTCATTCCTTGTTTGGTAACAGATCTGCGATTTAGCACTGCAGCAGGTACATATCGTTCAGGATCAACCTGAAGCTCTACCGGTAATTGGCTTTCCACAAGATGATCTCCTACAGCCCTCTTAAGCTGAGAAACATGAAATACAGGGTGAAGACGTGCTTGTGGTGGTAATTGAACTTGGAATGCCACTGCACCAATCTGTTTAATGACCAGAAACGGACCATAATAGCGTGCTGCTAGTTTGGGATTCAACCGAGAGCCTAATGAATGCTGAGCATGAGGTCGAATTTTTAAGTAGACATGATCTCCCACCTTAATTGGAGATGTAGTACGGTGAATATTAGCCTTCCTAGACATATGATCCTGAGCCTTGTGTAGATGGAATCGAAGCTGGTGTAATGCCTCATCCCTGCTTAATAAATCTTGCGCTACAGATTCAAACAAAGTCTCCCCTTGAATATACTTGGTGATAGTAGGGGGTGCTCTTCCATAAACTATTTCGAAAGGAGTGGTTTTGGCAGAATTATGGTAACTAGTATTATACCAAAATTCTGCCCAAGGAAGGAAATGACCCCAAACGTTCACTAAAAGCTGCCCCACCGTTCACCGTCGTCCAAGTTCCCCCATCTTCACAGTCCCGTGCCAAATCCATCGCGTGCATCACTTCTTGAGGATTATGGGGTCGAATCCGACCACGAATCTCTGTTTTTAGACCCGCCAAAAAATACCCTAAAAGCTGTTCATCGCCAAGTTCCTCCGCTTGTGCAACGAGAACTTCAAATTCTTGAATGTAAGCTTCCACCGAATTTTCTTGCCGGAGATTAGCCAAACGTTCATAAATGTTTCCCAGGGTACGATCCCCATAATGCTGAATGAGAGCCTTAGTTAACTCCCTCCAATCCAAATTGGGTCGTTTCTTTTTTAAGAATCGAAACCAATGTATGGTATTCCCCTCCATACTCAAAAATGCCAGTTGTACCTTCTCAATCGGAGCTATTCCTTGTAACTCGAAAAATTTCTCCGCCCGCGCAATCCACCCAAGTGGGTCGATGCCTTCGAAACTAGGGAGTTCCACCTTAGACGTCCAATTGGTTACTTCCGTAGATCCAGCACTAGTTGCGTCATCACTGATGGTAGGAGAATCTGAAGCGTGTCCGTTCTTCTTCAACGCCATGTCCTTGAGAATTGAACGAATATCCTCCACGCTTTGTTGGGTATCGCTGGTTTGTTTGCGCAACGCTTCCATGGAACGTTCTAGAGTTTCGACCCTCGTCTCCATTATTATTATTTGCCCTGTGTCAGATCCGGTAGGTCGGACCACTGTTACGGAAAGGGTATCAAATATTGATAACACCAGTAGACACAAGAAAGGGAAATAAAGAAGAACAGTAAAGAAAGAGAAAGAGAGACAATTTTATTGAATCAAGTAAAATGGTTACAAGAGACTTGCTCTTCTCAAGGGAAAGGTTCCCTTCAATTCTGAGATGAAACTCATAGGATACAAGACAATTCCCAAAAGTGCCACAACAATTACTAATACTCCTATTTATACAAAATCCTCTCTCCCATTCCTCTTCCCACAGTAACTAACTTCTCAACCGTTTTGTACCTCTTCTCTACTTATTCTTGGTTTATTCGTACGGGTATAAAACCTCCACGTAGCAGGTTGGTACCTTGGTGATGTATCAACCGTAACAGTATGTCCCCCAATTGAGTCAACCATTCTAACCCCAGCACTACATCTGCTCCACCAAGCTCGAAGAGGTATAAATCTTGCTCAATAGAGGTGCCTTGAATATTTATCTTCACACCCTTGCACACCCCTTGGCAACTGACCTTGTGACCATCCCCTACCTCCACTTGATACGTGGAAGTTTCCAACACGGACAACCCGAGCTGCTCCACCACCGCTTGCCGTACAAAATTACTCGTGGCCCCGCAATCTATCATGATTACCACACGATGCCCAAAAATTTCTCCCCACACCTTTAAAGATTGGCTTGAAGTGAGCCCTAAAAGGCTATTCAACGATAGTTGCCGCGGCATCACTGTCTCTGTCTCTGCCTGGGGCTGCATCGTTGTCACAACGTCCTCCATCTCCGTTCCTCCCTCTTCTTCGTCATCATCGACCAGAAGAATGTGGAGTTGTGGTACCTGACACCGATGACCTGGTCTCCAACATTCCTCACACTTGAAATAGAGGCCACGTTGATGACGATCGCGTCACTCCGCCTGTGACAAGCGTCTTCCTTGGCTCATGTAGCCCTCCGTCGCGCGCTGACCGACCGCAGAAGCCGAGCTCGTCGCCGTCGTTCCTCCTTTTGCATTTTCGGGTTGCGTACTTTGGGGATTAGGGTTCATTACGTTCGACTGCTGAACGGAATGAGTCTGAGTATGATTAAATGAGGTAGATGGGCCCACAGATGTTGACCTGCTACGTTTTGGCTCATTTGGGCCCAAAAGGTTTCGGTGGCCCATATTAGTATTTTTTGCTCCTTGGGTCCAGTTTTTTCCTGATACCCCAACTCCTTCTTCCACCCAAGCCCCATTCCTTCGTTCTATCTTCATCGTCAGCTTCATCATGTCCGATAGGTTCAGATTAGGAGTCATCAAAAGCTCCTCCCTCATACTGTTCCACACACCGTTGAGCCAAGCACCCTTGAGTAAGTCTTCGTCCTCTAAACGAAGAGCTCCTACCACTGTCTCAAATTCCGCCCTGAACTCAGCAACGCTCCCCCATTGTTTGAGCATATACAAAGCTCGATATGGGTTCTCCAACGCCTCGGGTTCAAAGCGGCTAAGGATTTCGCGTTTGAAAAACAACCAAGTAGCGTTGGGATTGTTCACCTCCCACCAATGAAACCAATGAAGTGCTTCTCCCTCTAACACCATCAATACCGCCGTCACTTTCTCAGCCTCCGTGACTCCATTCATAACGAAGTACCTCTCTACCTTGCTCACCCAACCAAAAGCGTCGTGACCGGAAAACATTGGAATTTCCAGACGCCTTGCCAGGTGAGGGTTCGTGTTGATCCTCTGATCCACTCTCCCTCCATTAACTCCAGAATTGTGGTCGTCTGAATCCTCTTCTTCGTCTCGATTACGAGTTCTCCTTGGATCAGCCATCCCATCCAGCCTACGGAGGATCTGGGTAATTCCCTCTTCTGTTGCTTCTAATCTTCTACACACCTTATCTTGGCGGGTATGATTTCTGCGCAGCTCCTCTTCCATCGTCTCCATTCGATGGTCCATACTTCTGGTGGTTACCGTCATTCCACAGAGCTCCTAGATCGGAGCTCTGATACCAATTGTTAGGAACTTCCAAATCAATAAAAACAATCAACTCAGAAATACTAGTTATGGGACTGAATCAATCCATTTTCATATATTTGTGAAACAAATTACAACCGAGACTAGAATTCAAATACAATGCGTAATTAAACTAACAACTCTTCTGTAAGAAAATAACAATGCACAGCAGAATGAAAAGTAAGATAGGTGTGAGACAGTTGGAGAGGTCTCACTCTCTCCCAAGCACCAATGCTCTACTATTTTCTCTGGATGCTGGTATCATGCTTCTCCACTTCCTTATAACAGAATTCCCTCAGCCTTGCCTTTCCACGCATGCATTCTGTTAAGGGGCAACTTGGTCATCCCCACTAGCTGATACAGATGCATTTCCCAATGGCCCTTCAGTCTGGCTTGAGCCCATTTCAACATTGCCCAATTGATTTGAGCCCATTTCAGCCTTAGCAGCCCATGTTCGTCTATTTTTATCCCTCTTATAGACATGTGTAACTGGGTTCCTAACAAACTCCTATTCAATTCTATGATCTTGGTGCTTTTTCTCCCCCTCTTTTTCTTGTTATTGTTGTTGCTTCCATCTGGGTTAGCACTATATACTTAATCTATAGATTCATTTATTTATTTTATTGGAAATGTATTAGGAATTATTGCTGCTACACAAGCCTAGTCCTTCTGATGGACTCTATTTTTTCAACTTATCCTATTAGGATTATATTGGATGCAGCTTATACTGTCTATATTGAATGCAGCTTTTGGATAAGAAGGGAGTGAGCTTTTGTACGCGGACCACACATGATGATAATGCTATAACAAATGCAATCGATATTTATGACAGCTTGAGGTATTTCTCATACCAAGTTTATTGGTCTCAGTCTGGAACATTGCTTAACATGGAAACTTTTGCAGCGGTGCAACTCATTTTATAGCATCCAATAATGATTGTGGGGTGAGAGAATATGACACAGAAAGGTTTCAGCTTTTGAATCACTTCCAGTTTCCTTGGCCAGTGAATGTGAGCACTCTTTAAGCATTCTGATTGGTGCAGTTTATTTTTTCTTTTCTTTTTTCAATTAGTGCTTATCGTCTAATTATACTTCTATTCAGGTTCGTTTCAGTTTTCCTCTCTTATACTGGTGGACTTAATTGTTCATTAATATGTTTATTTGATGAAAGAAGAAGTTGTATCAGAAATAGAAAAAGAAAACAGGACAAAAAGATAAAGGGTAAGGAATCCTTCGAGCAGATAAAGAAAACCAAAACAAAAAGATACAGAAATGAAAGTCCTATAAGTATAAAACTAGTCATTGTCGAAGAGCTTCCAATCTCTCTGCATATCTGAAATACTGATCAACCTTGTGCTGAACACCAAAGAGAAATCAAATACACAATTTTATCCCAAAGAAAATTAAAGGTAAAGATACACCCTTGAAGATACAAGCATTCCTTTCCAACTACATAAACCTCAAAATCCCATGAACCGCCAAACGCCACAAGGTTTTGTTTTCCTTCTTATTACCTAACCCTTGAAAGTGTACATGAAGAAAACAATCCAACGAACTAGGACAAACCCAATTCCTGCCTAAAATACCATAGTGCTTATTCCGAAGATAGTCAACACACATATCAAAGAGAGAGCTTTAAGTGGTCATTGAACCTGCAACATGTGATTAGTGTTAATTCTATTGAGTATTGCTGTAAAAACAAAATATTTGATGTTAAGAGGAGCTTTGGATTTCCAATTTGGCTTATCTAGAGAAAATTATTTTTCATGTAGGAGAGTTAATGGGGAATTGAATATAAGATTTGCATAAAAATTTTAAAATACTTGAAGAATTCGGGTTCCAAATTCTTATGTCTTGATTAGTTGGAAAGAAAACATAATCAAGTAAAACCAAGAGGGATTGAAGTTCCCTAGTTTCTCCATCATTCAGATTTCTTATACTATTGAGTTGTAATAAACTATTTTCTTGCTTTACTCATGGTCACTTGGATTCACAGTTTGTATGAACTTCGACTATTTTCCTATCTTTCTTACCTCTAATTAAATCTAAGAAAATGCAGTTGTGATTGGATATTTTGATTGACTATTTATAAACTATTTTTTATTTTATTTTTCCTTATATACTGCCTTGATTGATGCAGCACACATCAATCAGTCCAGACCGTAAGCTTATGACTGTTGTTGGAGATAACCTAGATGCACTGCTAGTGGATCCTCAAAATGGGAAGGTACATTTTTCCTCTCATAATGTATTTATTGGGATTTTCTGCTGAAGTCCTTTTTTGGTAAATATTCTGTTGAGGTCTTTGAAATAGCTTTTTACGATCTTTTCATTTTTCATACATTTGCTAATGGGTCTTTTAATTTTTCTTCTATATTAAATTTGTTGGATAGTATTTTCTAATTTAGGAAGTAGATCCCATATACACTATTTTAGGGATTATGTATCATGTGATTAATTAGCTTGATTTGATTTGTAGTTTCTTTCTTTCCATTTATTAGTGATTGTAAATCCTATTTATAAAGAATGGGGCTGCTGAGGCAATTTCCTCAAGTCATTCAGAAATCTCTTTCAAAAAAATTATTGGTAGAAAGAGGGCGAGCCTCGGAGAAGTGAGAAGGTTGTTTCTTTGTGAGTGGAAGGTCTTGGGTTTGAGTCTGGGAATCAACCTCTTTGCCTCACCCCTACCTTTGCAAAGTCGAAGAATCTTTTGATAAATTATTGGTAGAAAACTTGAAAACATTATACAGTTTTTTCCGATCACCAAAATAAGTCACTAGCTCTTGGTAATTTTAGGAGGTACATATAACTGTTTTAGAGGGTTTTTATTCATTTTGTTATTAATTTTGTGAATTATTCTGATCAATTTGAAACTAATTCCTATTACAATTCATAATTTGTTTGTGCACATGTTGCTGACCTATCTGTCTTTAGTTTAAACCATACGAGGAGAAAATGTGAAACAAGCAATGCTTTCATAGAACATGTATATGCTGTGATATGTGTAGTCACTGTTAACATCTCAAGGGATAGGAAATGCATTCTAGATATGAAAATAGTTGGTAGAGGGAGTTAAAATTGCAAAATACAAATGCGGTGAAAGTGAACACTATGTAGGTACTTGGTAGCTTTGTAGTCCCTACCATAAGCAGCATCAGAAACTTCCACTAACATCTTTGGGACTCATTTGTTTTTTTAGACTGTCGCTACTCTGGTGGGTCATCGAGATTACTCTTTTGCATCTGCATGGCATCCTAATGGACACACCTTTGCAACGGGGAATCAGGATAAGACTTGCAGAGTATGGGATGCTAGACATTTATCATCTCCCATTGCCATTCTCAAGGGTAACATGGGGGCAACAAGGTCTATTCGCTTTTCTTCGGATGGTCAATTTATGGTAGTTGCTGAACCTGCAGATTTTGTGCATGTTTATAGTACAAAGGCAGATTACAAAAAACGTCAAGAGATTGATTTCTTTGGGGAAATTTCTGGGGTTTCTCTAAGTCCTGATGATGAGTGTATGTATATTGGAATCTGGGACCGGACTTATGCAAGCTTGCTACAGTATAATAGGAAGCACTCGTATGAATATCTTGATTCCTACTTTTGATCTTTGATTCCTATTGTTGATTTAGCAATATCATCATTGTTTATTTGTAGAGCATTGTGAGATTCTATATATGGTATTTTATGTAGGTCAGTTTGATTAATCAAGACCACAGCATTATAAGATATTTCCATAACTCATATTTCTGAGCTTTTTTTTTTTTTGGATACATCTTTCTGAGCTTTTTTGATGCGACTGCCATCAACAGAAATTGGAAATTGCTTTGTATTATCATTATATATTTTGTCCTTCCTTCATGTCTATGTTCTACAAAGCACATTATAAAATAGTGGTCGGCTAAGCTACTTTTAAGGTGTAGCCGTGCCTTGACATTGGCTGTTATGTTTTCTTTTTCTGGATATCGTGGTAAAATAAAAAGTCTCTTTGCAATTATGTAAGGATAAGGCTGTGTACAAAGATATTCTCTACCCCACACTATTAGTCGAGTTTAACATGGAGTGATTTTTTGTGGTCAAATGATTCATCTTGGATTTAGCTTGTGTGTAACTTGATGAACCAAACGATTTGGTCAATGAAGGGCACATCTACACTGGGATTGGGGGACTTATTTGTTTTCTTGTTAAGATTATTATGATGATTACGGATTAGTTCACATTTAGGAACATCATTATATCAAGTCACCCTCAAAAGGGAATGCACTACCCGCAATAAAAATTTGAAACAAGGTGACTTAGTATATCTATTCTATATTCTTGAGGGGATATTATTCTTTAGTAATTCACGGAGGAAAATACACATGCTTTTAAAAGTCTGGCAAAGAAAAAATTAATCATATACTTCTTAGTTAAATGGAAAATTTGTTATCCCCACCATGAAAGTATATTTAATAAAAGGGATTAATATTTTTCATATTATAAGAAATACTTTTATTTCATATATACACATAAAAATGATGAAACTCATGGGAGGGCAGAATTTTATATGCAGACCTAAAATCCTATCAAATTCTCTTTTTTTTTTCATTAATTTCGCGGAATTTGTTGCAACACCTTCACTAAGTAACTAATCTGCTACAACAGTTCTGCACTTTCCATCGTTAGAACATTAGTTCAGTTATGATCTGAATTATTCCTAATTCAAATACATTTTCAAATGTCATGAACGCCCTAGATCTAAGTTCTACGCAAATGGTTATTCCTAACCTAATCACGTAGTGTTTAAGATCAATCTGAATTTCTGTTTTCAACATTCAATTTTTGTTACTCAATTAAATTGATCAGGTTTAAAAGAATTTATTATTAAATCATCTTAAACAATATTTCAACATGTTAGGACAAGTTTTGATATTAAATTATATTTTTAATATATATATAATATAATTTATATTTAATACATATAATAATCTATAATGAGTAATATAATCAATCAAAATACTTTAAACCCAGAATGGTTTCTATTTTATATTTTTGGAGTCAGGTTTCTATTTTATATTAGTCCTACATTTACATTATTATATATTAATATTTACCAACGTTCCCAGGCAAGTTGTCTTTTAAGATTTTGCATAAAAATTAAAAATGTCATTACTCATTGATATTTATTTTTTTATTTAATGTGAATACTTAAAAACAAAATCAAAATAAAACTTAATATATATTTCACTTTCACTTTTTTTTTTCTAATCTTTATCGGCTTCGCTTCTGTTCTGTGTGTTGTTGGTTCCAAGTAACAAAGGAAAAGGAAAAAGAAAATTCTAGAGAGAAAATAAAAGGATCAGTGTTAAGGGTAATGAACCCAAACAGAGACCCAGAGAAAAAGAAAGCAAAGTCAGAAGGAACTATTTTGTTATTTCATCTAGAATGAGAATCACATCAGTTACGCCAGGCTTTTATTACCTTGACACTTAACCACTAACGACAAACAAGTGCCACATCACTAAAATACTCCAATACTAATATTCAATATAGCTAACTGTTACATATAGCTGCATCTTTAAATAATTATATAATAATGAAAACACCAACCCTAGTTACCATCTCTATATCGGAGACTACCAAAAGACTACTGATATACTGATATATAAAGCTGTTCCTATGTTTACTTTCGTTAACCACAAAATCCTTTGCTCTCCAACTTCCTCTTGTTCGTAACAATCAGCTTCACTCTTTGTCTTTTTGCTCTTATTCACAAATGTGCTGTTTGAATACATAGCGATTCTAATACCAACAAGCAACAGCTCTCGCCATTGACGGATCCAACGGATAGAGTTTGAAGGTGGATCTTGTATTTGAGTTTTTTTTTTTTTTTTTTTTATCTGTTTTCTTCAATTTCATTATCTGCTTCTTCTTTTTTTAAATTTTGTTTCATTTTAAAATTATTTTAATTTTATAAAAATTTCCACAATTTTACATTTTTGCCACTGAACTGTATCGGATACGGTCAAGATTGCGTATCAAAATAGTCAACATGTTCCAAAAAATTGATCACATGTCGGACACATGTCTAAACGTGTCATCCAACATGCATTTCTTTCCAGAAAGAACTTGTCCGTGCATTATGGATTATATACTTATTTATTAAATAAAAACTTATTAAATAAAAACTAATTATATAACACGAAGACAACAATTTTTATCTCATAAAATAATAATAATAAATTTGGACTAAAAGGATTTATAAAAAAATAATGAAAATAACTATTATTTTTTTATTGTTTCCAGTATGAATCTTAAAATAATAAAGTAAAAGCATGATAACGTTTTGTAACTATAAAAAAATAAATTAAACAACAAACATTTTGTTAATGAAAGGTAAGCCATAAAATTGCTAGTGTAATAGGTATTTGGATTTTTTCAGAAGCCTTTATATAGAAGTAACACATGTAGAAGAGAATAGTTAATGCAACTTTCATGATTCATGCACACAATATCAATTTGAGTCATAAAATTCATATTTGACATTAAAAAAACATGAACATGAATAATCTTGTGAGCTCAAAATTTTTATACCTTTTTTTATTACTTCTTAAATTTATCTTATTTCCTAAGCAGTGTATCACTTGTTTGTTATCATCAAAATTAAACAAGGTGTGGAACCCGTATATATATATATGGTTTATCATTTTTCTGTCATAAGAGATAAAGTTATTTCATATAACTCTAAAATTACAAGTTTGAAGGTTAGGAGAATTAATGAGAGGTGTTTTGATAAAATTTATACAATAAAGAAACAAACAAAATTATCAAAATACTCCTTATTAATTCCCTCAATCCTTGAAACAATATAGTTTTGGGATTGCAAGAGATAATTTTATTTCCTCGAGAAATGATTTTTTCATATATATAAGAAAATATTTGTCATTTAAAAGACACAACTTTATGTCATTCTGAGTTAAGCTATTTTGTTTTGATAATTTTTTTACCTTCTCTCTCATCTTCAAAATGAAAGAAAAAAAGAGTATCGTGTAATAGAGAAGGTAATAAATAAGACGACTAAACTAAAAGTTAGGGTTTTCCTAAAAGATAACTCTCTTTTTCTCGATTTCTAATTATCAAAATAATAAAATTCAACTACAATAAGGATTTTAAGTACCTTCAAAATTCAAAATATAAAATCCTAAAAATAAATATAATGATAATTACCTTCTAAAAATAAATAAATAATTATAATTAAATCTTTCAAAATACGTCACAAATATTAGATATCAATGGTCATGTTGGAGAATCATAATCATGATCATAACTATATAAAGATGAATTTACTGTGATAAGGGAAGAGAGAGAAAAATATTGAAATAGGTAATCATAAAATTATTATCGTTGATTTATCTTTATATGGTTATAATTCCTCCACGTAATCATATTATGTTAAATAAAATATGAGAAGATCAATTTTCTATAATTGTTCTGTTTGTTTGACAATTGAGTGATGTAATAATGGCTTGCTGTAGGAAAGTGCAATTAATAAAGGAGTTGCTTGATCTTAATATTGCAATACTGAAGGATTAAGAGAAGTGGATTCATTACATAATATTATCCCACTAGAGTGAAACTAAGCAAACAAAATGTGCAAGTTACTGTGAGATGCTTAATTATTTGCATTTGTGATATACTGAAAGCGCCCAATCGGTCCTTTGATAGCACAGCAATTTGGTCTTTTCGTCACCTATTGCTATGCTATATATTAATATACAACAAGACAGTTGATATGATCCTGTATTCCTGTGATTATGAGTCGTAGACAAGATCCTTATTGACTAAAAGTTGACTTCTGTGAGAATTTTTGGTTGTTTTACCAGCCAAATATCTATTCATTAGGATGACTATATGTTTTAATTCTAGTCACCCTATATACATTACATAAATTGCATATCAATATATACACAAATAATACGAAATAGGTTAGAATATTTTCTATACCACTGTACTAAAAAAAAGAAAATTTTCTATACCAGGGGAATATTAATTCAATGTTTTGTATTTTTAAATTAATTGCGTTAATGAATATTTTAATTTAATTAATTATTTTATGAAGCCATTGTCATAATGATGAATTCAACTTTTATCATCTACTGGGCTTACTTATACTTATACAACACAATATATATAGGGATTGGTGAAACACTTAAAGGTGTGGGAACTCTCCAGCTGCAAAATTAAGGTTTAAAACGGCACGGGAGAGTGGACAATTTAGATTACAGGATCACATGCATTGATGTTGTCCTGATGAGAAAATTCTGCGTAAATTCATGATATATAATAGAAAGACCGCAAAATTCCATAACAAATGCAAACAAAGTCACAAGACAATGACTAACAAAATGAGCCCATAATAATCATCATATGCAAGGCATTAACATATGGAAAGCAGTACAACAATGACTTTCAGTGTATAACTATACACTTGGTCATTAACTTCAGTGTTTTCTACGGACAACATCATGGAGCTTCATGAAAAATTTACTTTAGTCCCTTTGACTTAGGGTCATGTACGGTTCAGACTTGAAACTTAAAGTAGCAATGGGATACCTATTTAATGTTTGAATTTTCCATTAAATTCCAATGGAAATCATCATAGTAAAGTGACATCACATGACCACCAATAAATTTGATAAAAATAATAATCAGGTAATTATAGCGTGACACAAAATGCACATATTAAAAAAAATTATGATCGCGTTACATGTTTTTAAAATTTTAAGATCAAAGTGCACTATGACATGACCTAAATTGGAGGAGATAATTTAGACTTTTACTTTTATCATAAATGGGAAAGAAT